GATTTCAGGGTAAGACAAATAAAACATTGAGAAACTCACAAGACTTTGTGGGCAAATTTTGAGCTTTGTATGATCGGCCTTAGTAGATCAGCATCCATAAGGTTGAGCTATCTGTCTACTTGCAGTAGAAAGAAAAAAGCATGACTTTTAGGAAGAATAATGTACATTTAACCTGTAGAGATTTGGGGACTGAAAGCTAGGGTTAGGAGCATGAAGTCATGATTAATAAACAATGAATAATAGGAAAGGATAGGCCATATATTCTGTGATTTGGTTATATTCATATTAGTAACAGTCGAACGTGTTATAATTTTGTTCTTTCTAGACACTAGGCGGTCCGTAATAAAGTGCCTCCTTGGTGGGCGGGAGTTCAAGGTAATGTTGAAGCTCTTTGGAGTCTAGAAATAGGGTTATTAGCTTTTTGAATCTGGTAAACGTATCACAGTTACGGATAGGCATTGGCAGCCTGTTCCACAATAAACTGTACCGTACTGTAAAAAACTTACAACGCATTTGTTTTTGGTGTTTTACGGTAAGTAGTGTATATGCGTTGTTTCTAAGTCTATAGGCTGGGTCGTGGGTGATAGTCGGGCAGGAGGTTAGAAAGGAGAGCCCATATATCGCTTTGTAGAGAAATATTAAATTGTTTTTTAGCCTACGGTGCCATAAAGGTTCTAAAGATAGATGCTTACATCTTTCTGTGTAATCGAGATTCGAGTTACATCCTAGTAGTTGACGTGTGAAACGTCTTTGAACATCTTCTACTCTTATCTTGTCTGCGATATTCATATTAGAGAAGACAAAAGAGCAGTATTCAAGGGTGGGTCGTACACATATTTTGTAGAGAGTAAGTTTACCCTCTGTTGTGAAAAAGTTTTTCATTATAAAACCAATTAGCCGTCTAGATTTAGAAATAATATAGGAGGCATGTTCTTCAAAGTTTAGGCTTCCTGTGTAATTAATTCCTAAATCGTGTACTGATTCGAATGTTTGGACTCTACATTCATTTAAGTGAAGTCGCGGTTTATAGGGATGCTTTCCAAAGTGCATGATCCCGCACTTGTTGAGGTTAAATGTTAATTGCCATTTTTCACTCCATATGGTTAAGTTATTGAGGTCCTTTTGGATCTGGGATACACTTTCGCTTAGTGTCTCAGGCTTATAGCTGTATACTATTTTGAGGAATTAACATCCACGCAATCAAGACCGCATGGGCCCGTTCACGGAGTGCGATTAATTGATCGTCATTCAGCTTGACAAAGATCAATAAAATGTTCGAAATTTAGTGACCCATCTGTCAAATGATTTGTCTAGGGCCCAGTCACATTTCACTGGCTCTACTGCCCCATGGTTTCCAGTGACAAGTAAGAATTTATATAGCTCAATGATTGAGACATACAAGTGATTTTTTATGTTTGATGACTGATACTGAATTGTAGCCAAATCATGATCAATTACAAATAAATTACAGCTACCTAGCAATCGGAACAAAATATACCCAAACTCCCAGGGTTGCCTATAGAATCAATAATGGACAAACATTGAAAAAAGCTACCTGAAACGAAAGGGATACTACTTTTTTCGTCCTCCAAAAACAGTGAACCTACGAAATTACGGAAATCATTGATGGCTCAAATTATGTTTATCCGAACTTTTCACTAGGAACTGAAGTCCCCTCCACAAAACATCGTACTGTAACAAGAACTGACCAAAAAAACTTGTTCTGTAGTTTGTCAAAGAGTTAGGCTTTTAACTCATGAATTGGGTGATCCATAACAACTAAATGAAGTCTCATATTCCATCAACAACTACATCAAAATATTCGCTCCAAAAATATATGCATTTATCGTATGAATGATTTATAAGCTGCGCTTAAGGAGCTTCTGTTCCTAGAAACGGTAGATCAACGGTGTTTCAGTATGTGTACCTAGGTATATGAAAAACGGAGTAGTGAAGTATTTGTAAGTTAGCATATTTGACAGTCCATCTCGGCTCTGAATTTGAATAAGATGACTACATGGTCGCTTCTATCTAGAGGTGGTAGGAAAGTAATTTGACCGACGTCATCACCATATGTGAAAAGTAGGTTTAAGAGAGACGAGGAGCTTCTTAAGTCATATGTGGTGTAATATACAATGTGTTGAAATAAAGCTAGTGAATTCAGGTTTCTAACAGTTTGCAATCGAACGACGTTATAGATTACTCTGCTTCAATTGCCTCAAGAATCAGAAGAGACTTTGTAGAGCAAACTGCTTCGAACAACCAATGTAATAAGGACTCGTAGCACTTTTATATGTAGTCGGTGTGAGTCCGGTGCACATTGAAGATGCCACGGGTATTTTTAGTTTATCAACACTTTAACCAGTAACACCTAATATGAATCGTACCCTCCAAGTGAAATCAAAAGACAGAAAAGAGGAGGCTCGAAGATATATTTGATAGTCTATCAATATATCGTGGATCGACTGATCTAATCTGGGTAGCGATTGCAGAGGATGTTGAGCACGGCGTTCCCACTCTTGATCTGGTACGGATGCATGACCGAGCGCCTTCAGCTAGGTGAGTGCATCGAAACCAATGTGTTCAGCATCCCATGTCGAAATCTTACAGAGCTATTTATTTTGGGGATTTATTTACCACTACATATCACTCCCCTCTAATGGGGTAGTGATGACCCTAAGATGTGGTCAGCCAGAAGTTTAAACCCAATTAGTTTGTCGTTGATAAACACCCTTCTGATAGTTTGTTATGCTTAGCAGCGTCTGGTCGTCTTTCCCTACCATAAAGGATGATAAAGTACAATATAGCAAAAAAAGAAAAAGTACAATGAAATTCTCGTAAATTTCATTGTTTTTTTAGTTGTCTTTTTCAGCCGTTCTGGAAGAGGAAAAACATGTAAGTGCATGTCGTAATACACTCGTACGCGCGTAAAAACACAAAGCGGGCGAAAAGATAAAAAGAAACTCAAACACACGTAATAGCGTAGAAAAGGATTTTTATAATATGGGTTTTCGTTTTTTTTGGAATGAAAATATAAATATATAGACATATTAAAATTGCTTTTTATATTACACACTACAAAGAAAAATCGAGATGATATAAAATGTCAACAAGTATCTTACGTGCAATAATCGTTCAAATGTTCTGGAAATCTTGCTCTTCTTCCAGAACGCGTTGTTTTGAGTTTATTTTCTGATACTGTCGAAGTATCATCGTGCGCGTTGGCTGTTGAATGAGGTATTATAGGTGTAGGAGCTGTGTCGTTCGATTGTACCGAAGGAAAATCGACGTGAATAGGATTTCCTTCTTAATACGCTGCTGTGAGGCGATCGATGCTGATGCCATCGTTGGTTCCGTTCTTATCGACTATATGGTACATGGATTCGTGTTGAAGAACTTTGAAAGATCCTTCATATGCTGATTTGAGAGGTCGTCGATGTGAGTCTCGACGGACGAAAACGTGTATACTACATAGTAAGTCAGGTTGAACGAAAACATCAGTTGAATGCGGTCGAGTGAAAATAGGTTTAACTGAACGCATTGCGTTTGTAAGTCTATCGTGTAGGGGGATAGATCCATGTTCATTGAAGATGAGGGATCCACGAATTCTGGAAGTCGAAGTGTCGTTCCATAAACGAGTTGAGCTGCAGTTTATCCAATGTCAGCTTTCACTGCATTGTGAATACCTAGTAGAACGAGTAGAAGAGTGTCAGTCTACTGTGAAATGCCAGGAGTCAGTTCCAATTCGCCATTTCTGAATGTTTACAATAATGCCATGTTTTTGTAGTCGTTCGAAAACATGATCCAGATGCTGGATGCATTCGCAAAAATTCGTAGAGTCCAAATGGAGTTATGATAGAGGTTTTCGGGATATCGTCCGTAGCCATAGAGATTTGGTTATAGGCTTTAACCAAGTTGGTTTTCAAAAAGACAGTTGTACCTTTCAAGGTAGCTGTCAAATCGTGAATATGAGGCAACGGGTAACGATCGGGAATGGTTTTTGCATTTAGTCGCCGATAGTCACCAGTTGGACGCCAATCGTTGCTGTCCTTTTTAGGGACCATGAGCAATGAAGATGGCCATGGACTGATTGATTGTCGTATGATTCCTAAGTCTATCATGTGGTCGAATTCGTTTCTGGCCAACCTTAGCTTCACGGGGGCCAGTTGGCGCGCTTTCGAGAATACAGGTGGTCCTGTAGTCGTGATGTGACGTGTAACGGTGCCAGTCACACACGGCAGTTTCGGTTGAGGATGGTATATCCGAGAATACTCATCTAGTAGAGGTTGATAGAATGGGTCTGTCGTGTGCCTGACTGTGACAGGAGATAATCTGCAACCAGAAAAAGTGGTCACGCAAACAGATAGTTTAGTGTTTCCGTCTACTAGCCTTCGTTTGCGAGTATCGATGAGTAGATTGTGGTTTAGTTGGAGGTCTATACCAATGATTGGCAGAGAAACATATGCAACAGCAAAGAATATATACCAGTACACTAAGTTTTTCGCATGTGTACTCGTGAAGTACAGTTGGTAAACTTATCTGGAAAAAAGAGGTACATTTGTTGATTAATTTAACTGACATGAATTCAATTATAGCATAACAGCATTCTTGATGTGTAATTTAACAATCAACAGTATAAAAATAAACTGAGAGGAAAAATACCACTACCCTTTTTGAATAGCGCGCGAAAACAACTGATCGATTTATTCCGATATGATTTAAGCCAGTCAGTCTAAGGTAACTTGATACCTATTAGCTTGGACTTTTTGACAGGAAATATGTGATATTCTATGACAAAATTGTTTTAAAGTGTCAGTGCAGCGTCCTCAAATGAAAATATATGTGGTGTTTACCAGTTTCCTACTGCTTTTCTGATTTGCACTACTTTTTTATTTAATGAGTTCAAGAAAGAATAACAGAGAGATTTTAATTGTAATTCCTTGATTTCGAATGCTAAATTTTCACAACAAATGATTATTGAAGCGTCTTTTCATGATCCCGCGGGTGGTACGCTTTCCAAGATGGCTGGTGTAGGTCCTATTGTTAGGTGGAGGAAAGTTTCGGCGGCCACTGGGAATGTCCCCAGATCAAGACACGGACACAAAGCTGTGGCTATCAAGGACTTGATCGTGGTTTTCGGTGGTGGGAATGAGGGAATAGTGGACGAACTTCACGTTTTCAATACGAGTAAGTGTTATTTTCGCCCATTTGCTTTAGCAACCTGCCAATGGTTTCTTCCCGCTGTACATGGAGATATTCCTCCAGGATGTGCAGCTTTCGGAATGCTGGCAGAAAACACTCGTGTGCTCATGTTTGGTGGCATGCTTGAGTATGGCAAATATTCAGGCGACTTATACGAACTACAAGCCTCTCGTTGGGAGTGGAAACGTCTAAAGCCTAAGCCTGCTAGAAATGGCCCCTGTCCATGTCCAAGGATCGGTATGACCTCTTTTATTCTGATTTTTTGGTAGGGCATAGTTTTACTCTTGTTGGTCAGCGAGCATTTTTATTTGGTGGGATAACAAATGACAGTGATGACCCTAAAAACAATATACCAAGGTAATCACTCCTGTTTTTCTGCTTAATTGGTCATGCGTCGTTTAGCGGTTGTGGTTGTGTAAATTCGTGTCTAGTAACATGTTTAGACTGATCTTCTAATCTACTGTTACATTATGTACTAGGTCACCGGCATATTTCTAAATTAAACTCAAGTTTAGGGGATATCCCTTGTATCTTGTAACTGATCAAGATCAAGATGCTCAGCTTCGCTACTTCTCTCTAGTTATCGACACCTGTAAACAACTGTCAACGACATAAGGAGTTTCGACAATTCATTGACTTAAAGAAAAAAATCCACACAACTTGGCGCTTCAGAGTACATGTCTTTTGACCAGCTTCCGTTCAGATCGTTTTCATCTACTCTCACCTGTATTCAACCACAGAGATATTTTCTTATCTACTCTTGCACAGTACCTGTTATTCCAAAGCTTTTTTTAAGATCTATGAATACCACATCAATGGAAAAATCGTTACCTTAGGTTGCTGTCTGATTCTCTCTGGCAAATAGTTATGCACGAATGCTTAGAGATCTGTGTTGCTCGAGAGTCATCGAATTATATGATTCTCTGTGACTTAGTAACTTGACCCTGATTGTTTTTCTCATGTAACCTAACGACTATGCTGGTTAGACTGATAGGTCAGCGGTTAAACATGGTCTCCATACTTTAATATTGGGCTAACCAAATCATCGTTCCAGTACCTAGGTGGTTGAGTGCGAGGAAGGGACATATTTTTCTCATAACCTTCGAGTTCTAGTTTCCTCTTGGTCATGTCTCGCCTCCAATCCATTTATCGAGCCCCATTACTTTATTAATATGTACTACCTTCCGGCAGTACATTTCTGATGGCAGGTCGAACTAACTCCAGAATGTGTGTATGCCTTTTAGCAGGGTCGTTTTACAACCCCCCTCCAAATTTCGTCAACAACATCCGCCTCGAGAAAGCACTGTGTAGGACTCTCCTCGCAGTAGATGTGCACGTGTGACCAGAGCATTTCGAGAGGTAGAACTGAATCTTCTCTTTCTCGGTCGTACCAGGGCATTTGGTATTTTCTTTGTCCCGACAATGCGGGACTTATTCCGGTTACGCGTAGCGATGGTTTCGACGGGGGTTATCTTTTTGGGTGTATCGACAATTGGAGTCAGCCTGTCGACGATGATTACTAGTTGAGTTAACGACACTATCAACTGCACTTGTTTCTTTTTCATCTGATGTCAGACTTAGCGTATATTGTCCCTCGCCAGTGTGAGGTCTAAGACTTCATCTAACAATTGTCTTAGTAACGGAACATTCCTTAAATAATCACGGTGAGGTCGGTCTACAGCAATTTTCATGCACGGCGGGTAATAATTTGTGAAATAATCTCTTACATCCGTCATATCGCATACCACTTTCAACAAGGAATATGCATAATGATCAACCGCATCGATAACTGAATGGCCATTATGATCGACACGGTGCGGATAAAACAAGAAAAGTTCAGACAGCTAGAAAATCCAACTCAGGAAAAAAGAAACACGGTGTATGTTAATCACAGATACACACCAACAAAAAATACGCATGAAAATTACTTCACAAACCTTAGTAGCATTAAAAGCGATATATATGATCTTAAACTTCTGGAATGATGAATTCAAAAGAAATCTAATATCTTAACACGCGGAAAAATCCGTTTCCTTTTATCAAATTTCATGGTAAATCTTGCTAATAAGGTTCGTTATTCAGTCTACAGTAGTTCCCTAAAATAATAGTTATTGGTCCATAAAACATTTTCCGGCGAAACTATAATTTATAGGCAACTGTCATGTCGGATTCCGTCAGTAATTCTCTCTCATGGGGATTTATCGTCCGATCGCATTGAATCACCATGCATCTATTAGTCGGCTTTATATTCATTCTAGCTATTAAAGTATGTTCTTGTTTTATATCAAGTTGTCTGTACTCTTTACTGTGTAAAATATTTTTATAATTAGATACTTAAACGATCTGTACACTCTGGAATTAAAACCCAATTCAAGTACTATGTGTTGGGATATTCCAAACACATATGGTCAGCCACCTACCCCTAGAGAATCTCACAGTGCAGTAGCTTATCAGGTCCTTGATGGAATGATAAAGAAATGGCGTCTTTTGGTATATGGTGGCATGTCCGGTAACCGACTTGGGGATCTTTGGCAATTAGAAATTGATACCATGACATGGATCAAACCTATCGTTAGTGGAGATCTACCGGCTCCACGCAGTCTTCATAGTGCGACTGTAATCGGAAACCGGTAAGTGTTACGAAAAATCTTTTTATTGTTGCGGTAGGTTTTATCCTACGTCCTGTTATCTATCGTAAACGATTTAATGTGACTTAAGGCACTTTTTAGCTTATGTTGTCATTTGTTTATTGTGTATTCAAGTTAGGAAAGGTAATCAGCACTTATTTTAGGGTGATCATTAGCCTTGCTTTAAGACTCACGATTTTCCCGTAAACTGAGAGTTTTTATCTAATTAACAAACAAAATATATGCGGGTATTGGTCAATGTTTGGACGGATAGTTCGGCAGGAATAGGGCGGGGAGTATAGAGACGTTATTTGTAAAACTATATATATACCTCAAAAGATGAATCCATTTCCTGATCAGTGACATGTACTTTTGCTTTAGGTGATTGCTGATTGACACGTAGTAGCCTTATCATCTGGCTACTTCTGATTGACTCATTTTTTCAGGTCTAGTGGTTAAAGGACTACACTTTCAACGTGATAAATACAGGTAAAATAAATGATTTTGACAGCTTCGTAGGAAAACCAATCCAGTACCCGGTCTCCAATATGAGTTTGTCACGTGAGGTTTGAAAAATTAATTTGCGTCTTTATCGTCTTTTGACAGATAGGCTATGACAGTGATCCATTTGGTATTCAGTCAGTCAGTCAGTAACAACGTAGAACTTCGTACGTACGTACATCAGTTCGAGTTGCCACACCACATTAGCACAGAGATGCAGTTGTCGATTTAAATCCCGTAGTGTTAGAGGTAGTAAGAGTATAAACAGAAATCGGAAAGATTAGGGTTTGATGATGCTTTCCAAGGAGTATAATCCAGTGAAATAAATTTGGAAAGACGAAAAAAGGAACATGAATTCAGAAGATTAGAATTTGGGAGAACACAAAGAGTGGATGCACCTGCGCAATCGCAATCGATTTGGGGCCACGTCATTCAAGGTCTCTATCCATCGGTTGCTATCATCTCGCGGATCCCAATCAGGTAGTCTACACCTACCAACATGGTTCAGTTCACTTGTCAGTGACTTCATGGACTTGTGCCATGTTTTGGTCTGACTGCCCCTAGCTTTCTTCCAACCTACTCCTACACCACAAAACATCGCTCGTCGGGGCAGTCGGTGGTTGGGCATACGTAACACGTGTCCCAGTCATCTCAACTGTTGAAGTTTCACTACTTCATCAATTGATTTGTCATCCTTACCTAGTACCCGTTTCCTAACAACTGCGTTACTTACTCGATGGTCCCAGGATATACGAGCAATGCTTCGAAAACACCTCTGATCGAATACTAGAAACCTATGAATATCCTTTACTGTTACCGGCCACGTTTCACTGCCATAAAGTAGGACAGAACGAACTGCTGCACAGTAAACACGTCTTTTGGTTGATAGACGGATATCTCGCCTACGCCATAAATGACGCAAGTTGGCAAAAGCTAGTCGAGCCTTCTGTATCTTTGCTGAGATTTCGTCACACACCAGACAACAAGGGCTGATGAGACTTCCAAGATAAGTGAAGGGGTCGACACGCTCAACTACTTCACTCCCTATCATTATTTCGGGTGTCGATACAACCCAATCCTGAAGCAACATTTTACATTTCGAGGGAGAGTATCGCATCCCGAACATGCTTGCATTGTTGCTTAGAGTGGTCAGAAGACTTCATTTTGTCAGCGTCTTCACCAAACAGAACTATGTCATCTGCATATTCTAAGTCAAAAAGTGAATCTCCTGGTAGAAGTTCAACCAACGGAAATTTAGATGAGGAAAGTGTCATCTCTAAAAGTACGTCAATGACAAAGTTGAACAAGAATGGGGAGAGTGGACAGCCCTGACGAACACCACTTGAGGTAATCAATTCTGATGACAGTTCGCCATAAGCTCTCACTCGACCAGTTGTGTTCGAGTAGAGAGCCTTTATAAGGTTAATGTACTTCTTTGGTACTCCTTTCAGTGACAAACACTGCCATAGAACCTCACGATCAACAGAGTCGAATGCCGCCTTAAGGTCGAGAAATACTACCATTGTGGGGCGTCTGAATGTGTGTCTGTGTTCTAGAACCTGACGTAGTGTGAATATCTGATCTATACAACCACGTCCAGGTCGAAAACCAGCCTGGTTTTCTCTAGTCTGCTCTTCACGAGCTTTAGTTAGGCGTCGAAGTATTATTGAAGCTAATATTTTAGACACTATATTAGTCAAACTGATTTCTCTGTGATTGTCACAAGAGGACTTTTGTCCTTTCTTATAGACTGGCACAATCAGTGATTGAGACCAGTCAGATGGGATTACGTCCAGTTCCCAAATTCTACCTAAGACCTCAGTTAATCTCACTGCTAATACTGGACCACCATCCTTAAAAATCTCAGGAGTAAACCTGTCAGGGCCTGCTGCTCTCCCTCGCTTCAGATTTCCTATGGCTTTTTCAACTTCGTAGAGTCGGAGGACCTACATTAACTTGCCATTCAGGTTGACTGGAGATCGTGGGAAACCGAAGTGTGGCTGAAGGCCAGTTGAACTGATCCCTAAAGTGTTCTGCCCATCGATCCAATCTCCTGGATTGAGAATGTATAATATGTCCATCTTTCTCTGAGATTGTTTCGCTAACAGTCGGGTTCCTAATACCGGTTTCCTTAACAAGTCTGAACAATTGTCTGCTATTACCTATTGCCGCTGCCTTTTCCATCTCTCTTGCTTTCGCTACCCACCACTGTTCACGATCATTGCGTAGACTTCTTGTCAGCTTGCGCTTAAGCTGACTCCGCTCTTCATTATGTTCAGAGCCAGATGGAATGAGTTTCCGAGCATCTATCAGTGCGATAGATGCTGCTGAGATCCAGTGTTGCTCCCTAACCTTACGGTTTACCTTACTAGCAGATATCACTGCTGTTTCCACAGCTTTTCGGATATCATTCCATGCTGCCTCGGGGTGGGCATCACATACATGGCTGCCTAACTGTTTTCCTAGTTGTTCCTGAAATATACTCTTAGCTTGACTATCATTAAGTAGGCCCTAAGAGGTTTCCTTGCAGCGTCTTTCCTACGTCCAGTAAGACGCAAGCAAATACGCGCTCGCACTAGAGCATGATCTGAATCTAAGCATGTGCTCCAGAATGAGCGACAGTCTTCTATCGAGCCCCTCCATCGGTGGCTGATAGCGATGTGATCTATTTGGGTCCAACGTTGGGACGAATTAGGGGGTCGCCATGTTAAAAGATGTTTTTCCTTATGCTTAAAGTTAGTATTTGCAAGGAACAGGCGGTTATCTGAGCATAGCTGCAACAGACGGTCGCCATTATCTGTTCTTTGAGCCACGACACCATAAGATCCACCTAGGTGTCTTTCCCTTTCGCTTAGTTTACCTACTTGAGCATTAAAGTCACCGGCCATTATTACTACATCCGAGCGCCTAGCTTTTCGGAGAAGGTCGGAAAGCTTTCTGTAAAACTCATCTTTTACATCATCTGAGCTGCAGTCAGTGGGAGAATAGGCAAAGACGAGTGTCCCTATCTTTTCGAGTCCTTACTGTTCCGTTTAGTCGGACAGCGCACAAACGACTGTCTACTGGGATCCAGTCTAAGAGAGCTAGTTCTGCCCTAGGACTCAATGCTATACCTACGCCGGCCAGTCCACGTGAAACAGCATCTGGGCTTCCAGATACACAAAGTGTGAATCGAGTTGGTTCTTTGTTTTGACATGGTGGTGTCAAATGAATGACCCTACTCAGGTCCTGTATGCGCGTTTCGGAGACGCAGCACACATCGATGGCTCGAGATCCTAAAGTCTTAGCTAAGGAAGCCTGTTGTCCTGTTTGGCATAATGTTCGGACGTTAAAAGCTCCTACATGTAGTTTAGAGCGTGGTTTCAGGAGACCAGGAATAACGTTCCGCGTACTCGAATCGTTTGCCCTAGCGGTGCGAGGTGATAAAGAGACGTGAGGAGGGTTAGTCGGGGAGATAAGAGAGGTATTAGAAGGTGTAGGAAGGATTTGAATGTGACCAACTTGGTCTCGCGTGACCGCAGAGCCCCAGGGACAACTGCTTGAGGCCGGTCGCGCACGGTCTTTTTGTGGGAGGTTTTTGACGTGTTAGCTCCGTTCTTCAAAAGGCCTTACCGCCGGAGACAGAAATCCTTGAGGTAAGGTGAGGTGTGACATTTTTAGGGTCGACCTTTTCTAACCCCTTCCCTCCTTGTGAGAAGGCAGCATCACTGTAGATGCTGGTTGGCCGAGAGAAACAACTTACTGCTGTCACACCCCTCTACAGTCAGCAGTACGACTTCGCCCTCAGACCTTGAGTTGCTGCTTTTAGTCTCATCGTTCTCCAATCGACCTGCCTGGCATGGTAGAACCTACAGAAACATATGTTCCAGACAATATAGCTCGGTTGGGTCATCACGATAGGCAAGCCCAACCACCGCGTCAAGGTAGCAGCTACGGTCGGGTCCATTTGGTATTAGGCTTTTTAGTTCGTGTGAATCAAATATATTCGCAACCCGAAGGGAAAATTCTTGGTTATTATTTTGCACGTACTTTCATTTCATAGTTCTAAATCACTTGCCCTTACTGACCAGAACTATTGGATCTGTTTAAGCACCCACGACATCAGTTATTTATATTTTATTTTTTAAATGTGGAGTGTTTTATGTTCGGCATTTTTCAGCAGTAACCTAGAGAGGGACGTTACTCATTTTCTACAGCTACTTACTGTTCCTTAACAAAATTTTAGTTGTAGTGTTTCGCACATAATTTCTTTAGAACCTGACCAGATTTTTAGATATCAATGTTGATCGATAGTTTTTTATTTTCTTCCGTGTTCTCATTTCTTTAATTTGCTTTGATACTTGACATTTAACCATTACTAGCATGTTTGTCTTCGGTGGATGGGTTCCTTTGGTCATGGAAGAAATTAAAATGACAGCTCAAGAAAAAGAATGGAAGTGTACGAATACTTTGGCTAGTCTCAATCTTGACACAATGGTTTGGGAACCATTGACAATGGAAGTTGCTGACGAATGTCTTCTACCTCGAGCCCGTGCTGGACATTGTGCTGTAGCTGTTCACAGTCGTTTGTACATTTGGTCTGGTCGTGATGGATATAGAAAAGCATGGAATAATCAGGTGAGTTCCTGAATATTGTACAACCGTGTGATAATATGTACTCTAAAATATAATACTAACTGGTTGAATTTTTATCATTCTAGGTTTGCTTCAAAGATTTATGGTTTTTGGAAACTGACCGTCCTGCTGCTCCAACAAGAGTTCAGTTAGTTCGTGCTGGCACACAAAGCCTCGAAGTAACATGGGGTTCGGTACCTACTGCAGATGCTTATATTTTACAAATTCAAAAGTATGATGTTTCTCCTTCCACAACTTCCACACATTCCCTGACATCTTCACCAGTAGATACAAGTGGAATTGTTAAAGCTCCATTAACTGCATCTGCTGGTTCTCTGAACTTTTCAAGAGCTGGTGCTATTTCACAGGTTAGTGCCTCTGGAAAGGCTTTTGAATTTATTCGGTTGCTGCTAGCAACAACTTAAGCAAAATTATTAGCTGTTTGATTAACTGACTGACTAGCTTCTCGATTTCGTTCATTACATAGGCCCTCATTACCACGCCAGCTCCTGCTAATTCTGTTCCGATACCAACCCCTATTAGATTACCTACTACTACTGCCGCTGTTGGTTCAATAATACCAAACTCATGCGTCACTATGGCTGGACAGAGAGGACCTACTGTAGTTACACCGACAGGTTTAAAGATCACACCTGTACCAGGCAGTGCTGTTACAGGACGGACGGCAACTATCGCAACTGTAGCACAACATTCCAGTGCAGTTAATCCATGTGGTCCGACGATCATTCGAAGTTCATGTCCTCCGATCGCTCCGAAGCAACACGTGAGTTGCCTTTCTAGTATTCTGTGTTAAACGAGTAAAACTATCCAACACCGAGCTGATGAATTTTTGTAATATTTTATCTTGAGAGTTATTTTAAATAATTCGAGGATTCTGGTAAATTCTCACACAATTTCCTTTTATTATCTTAAAGAGAGCAAAACCAAAGAATGGAGCAGAATAACAGGAATTAATTTTATTTCGTTAGGCTGTCATCAGCTGCTTACAAATCATAATATTTTAGAATCAAAATTGTGGATATTGACATACCTATAAATTCGAACGTGATTATAGATGAATATGTGTATCATGATGTAGCGAAGATTATAATATAGTTTATAAGGTCATAAAAATTTTTCTCAGACAAATAAAGAGGGAAAGTTCCAGAACACCGAACTAGTGACTAGAAATCATAGAGTTAAAAAACATTAGATGATTGTGCGATGGAGCAAGTGTAGCAGCAGCCTCAGCAGCAGTAGGTCTCAACATACACAAAGGGAAAAGCGACATTCTCCGATACAATACGGCATGCAACAATCGAATCATACTTGACGAAGAGGATTTGGATGATGTGAAAACCTTTACATATCTGGGCAGCATCATTGATGAATACGGTGGATCTAATGCAGATGTGAAGGCACGGACCGGCAAAACGAGAGCAGCATAACCACAAATGCAGAACATCTGGGACTCAAAACAATTGTCAACCAACCTCGAGGTCAGAATTCTTAATACAAATGTCAAGACACTTCTCGTGTATGGGGCGAAAACCTGGAGAACTACGAAAGCCATCATCCAGAAGATACAGGTGTTTATTAACAGTTGTCTACGCAAAATACTTTCAGTCCGTTGGCCGGACACTATTAGCAACAACCAACTGTGGGAAAGAACAAACCAGATTCCAGCGGACGAAGAAATCAGGAAGAAGCGCTGGAAGTGGATAGGACACACATCGAGGAAAGCACCCAACCGCATCACAAGACAAGCTTTTGCATGGAATCCTCAAGGCCAAAGGAGGAGAAGAGGAAGACCAAAGAACACATTTCTCCAGGAAATGGAGATAGACATGAGAAGAATGAACAAGAATTGGATGGAATTAGAAAAGAAGGCCCAGGACAGAGTGGGTTGGAGAATGCTGGTCTGCGGCCTATGTTGCATTAGGAGTAACAGGAGTAAGTAAGTAAGCAATGAAGCAAGTGTAAACAGATTAGTGGTAAAAATGACATGAATTAAAATCAATTATGAATTAAAGAGAACTGACGATGATGTGATCAAAACTTGAGAAATTTGAAATAATGCATGATGCAATAAAAAGGGTGTAATGTTACCAGGGCAAAGTAAGATTTACTGGTTTGTTTTTGAACATATATATCTGGTTTTATTTTATTTATTTATTTGAACACAATTATTGGTACAAGGGGCACCAGATATATATGCGCCACACAAAGCAATGAGAATGGGAAGAGAAGAAAGAATGTAAGGTGCGTATAAGAAAGAAAAAGAGAACAACAACGACCGCAGATTAGTGTATGGTAGTATAATAATAATAATAGTAATGGGGGAAACGGAAAGCTAAAACCAGAAAGGATTCTTTTAGTTAAGGAAGTTCCAACCACCTTTTATGAAGAAAGTAAAAGAAGGTTACATCAGGTTCGCGACTGGCTTCTATTCTGAGCCATATCTGATAACGTCTCTAGACACTGTGTTGCACCATCTCTCAGACCCCAACCAGGGAGTCGTGAAGAACCAACAGAGGCCAGTCCTGTGCAGCTTTCTTTCATACCACGACATCATGTCACACACTGACCACCTCTCCGCTTTTTCCGACCAGTCCTAGCGTCGGCAAATAATGCACAACGAGAAATTCTCTGGAGCAACATTCGAAGAACATGTCAAAGCCACCGAAGTCGGTGTTTCAATATGTTGACACCAATTGAATTATCGTCTCTGTGCCCGAACACACGATGCTGAACCTCTGCATTACTAACATGATGTTGCCACTGGGTGTCAGCAATCCTTCGGAGACAACGATGATCGAATACAGAGAGTCGTCTAGCATCCTCAACTCGGAGAGGCCAGGTTTCACAAGCATAGGGCAAAAGTGTTCGCACTGACACGTTGTAGATCCGACCTTTCACAGCCAGACTGACCTCACGAAGGTGGCAAAGATGGCCCAGATTGGCATAAGCCGCTGTGGCTTTCACTATACGTGAATCGATCTCATCACTCACGCCACCAGCCCTTATGCAGCTACCTAGATGCAGGAACTTCTCGACTACTTCTATCTGCTCACTACTCAGGGTGAGTACATAATCAGGGTTCTGCCAGTCTTGTAGAATTTGCACTTGGAAGGTGCAAAGCACATAGCGTACCTATGGACACTGATTGCCAACTGATTAAGTGCGGATTGCATGGCTTGAGGATCATCGCACAGTAAGACAATATCATCCACATACTGAAGGTCGAGAAGTCTTTCTCCAGACAACAGATCCACACCGCCATTAGTTACATCTATCAGAGCTGTTTCTAGAATGTCGTCGATGGCAAAGTTGAAGAGGAATGGTGAGATTGGGCAACCCTGTCTAACCCCACTGCCTGAATGGAACAATGGAGAAAGGTGGTTGTATGGCTTAAATCTACCTGAGGTGTTTGTTTATAGGGCTTTTAGGATGTTAATAAACTTCTCAGGCACACCCTTCTTCAATAGACAATCCCAGAGAACAGTCCTGTCCAACGAATCGAAGGCAGTCCTGATGTCAAGAAACACTACGATTGTTGGCCTTTGATAAGTATGGCGGTGTTCTAACACTTGGCGGAGGGTGAAGATATGATCAATACATCCTCGACCAGAACGAAACCCAGCCTGCTCCTCGCGAGTCAATCTTTCTCGGGTTTTGAACAACCTACGAAGTATGACAGAAGCCAACAGTTTTGAAGGAACTGGAAGTAGACTATCCCCCAATAAAATTTAAAGAAACGATATGAACCCTTTTTAAAAATAATGACAATTATCGACTCATTTCATGACGTTGGAACATTCTCTAGTTCCCAGACCTTTGTAAACAACGTCAGTTCCTTAACCAGAAAGTCACCACCATCTTTAAAAACAGCCGGGTGTAAGTCGTCTGGGTCCGGTGATTTGTAGCGTTTCAAGAGTTGGATTTCCTTGTTAACTGTCCTTCGAGGAACTCTGCCCATCGTCCAAGACGTCGATGGATGTTTGTTATTGGCATCTCGTCATACAGATTGCTTCGCTCATACCAGACTTCTTGCTGCCAGTGGCTTGGGTGAGTTGAGTGAGCTTCCGGTAGTTACCAGATGTAGCTGCTGCTTCTAGCTCACTAGCACGCTCAGACCACCAGGCTTCTCGATCCCTACGCAAGCTTTGCCCGATTTCATTACATAACATCCTTCGTTTGTGGTCAAACTCACGGTCATCTGGAGTATACCGACGGGTCTCGATGAGTTGTAGGGAGTCTGAGGGGACCCATTGCTTATAAGCGGGACGTTTCGCGAAGCCGCCAACGGCTATACTCGTCATTTTCATGGCGTCATGCAGCTGCCACCAATACTCATCTATACTTTTCGGTGGGATGGTAACTAACTTAGAACCTAGCTCGGTTTGATACTTAGTTGCAACAGAAAGTGCAATCAATTTACTGACATCAATCCTTTGGTGACGATTGATTTGTTGGCCACTAAAAGGTGAGGTAAGATTGGCACACACCAGGGCATGATCAGAGTCCAGATAGGTACTCTGAAAAGAGTGACAGTTTTGTACACAACCACGACAGCAGTAGCTGATCGCGATGTGATCAATCTGAGTCCAGGCTTGAGATGCAGAGGGAGGACGCCAAGTGGCACATCGGCGATGACTGTGCCGAAAGTTAGTGCTAGCCAGAAACACGTTGTGATCTGTGCACATTTGCAGTAGACGGTCCCCGTTATGTGACCAAGAAGTCCCCATCGGCCACCTAAACGACTCTCTTTTGTGCCTGGACGCCCAACCTGATCATTCGAGTCTCCGGCTTGTACTACAATATCTGTCGAACGCACTTTCTGGAGAAGAACAGATAACTGGTGGTAAAATTCATCCTTAATCGCATCGGAGATGCGATCTGTCGGGGCATAGGCGGAGATGACGAAAAGACATCGTTTCTCACGCCGATTTCTTCTCACTTTGATGGAACTTTCTAATCTAACAGCACATAACCGACTGTTAATGGGGATCCAATCGATTAGTGCTGCCTCAGCTCTAGCGCTTAGTGCGACACCAACGCCACAGGGTCCCCGAATAAGCGCATGTAAAATAAGATTTTTGAAGCGACAGATGTAAAGCAAATTTGTAGTACTGTACTAGACTCGAATATAGCGGACGTCGATATTAAGAAATTCTAAAGACAACCAGCCCTATCTGTTGTTCGATCTGCATTAGTGTGCGAACGTTGAAGGCAGCCAGTTTAAATGGTGTATGTGGTTTCAGAAAGTCAGTTTCAGTATTTGTATCCGGTGGGAGCATTCAACAGTGGCTTGAGATCGTTTATATGGAGCAGAATTTCCACCATGTGTGAGCTGCTTTATAAGTTGAAGAATGGGGATACCTAAAGTTGGAATAGAGGTAGATAAGTGACGTAGTATATAAAACATAGTAATAATAGAAACGATGAGTGTTATCAAGTGAATGTGAATTATCTGAATTCTAAAATGAAGCGAGTATAGTATTTCGTGAAGTTGTTGTCATCTCATTAGATTTGCGTGAGGGCTGTGATGCTGCCCAGGTGCCCAGATCGAAGCAGGTGGCTTTCTTAGGGGGGCACACCCAGAGCCTTCGACCTGAAGGTCTGGTCCACAAGGCAGTGGGAAAACTCAAGGAGTTGCAGTCCCATGGTAGCATGTGTCCAACGATTGGTCCATACGCCATTTGTTCCTTCATGGTGCTGGAGCCCGTGTGCACCATTGGTTTGGAATCAGGGTTTCCCAACTCCAGTAGGTGGACTCTCCATGTCCACCAACCCGGTTAAAGCGCCGGACGTTCGCTTTTCGTCCCCTCAATTTCGTAAATAACACCCCCGCCACGAGAAGGCAGTTAGTAGAACTTCCCTGGCAGAGGGTATACACGCGTGGCTATATGAGAGCATTTCGAGAGGGAGAGCGGACTCGCCCTACTCTCGGTCATACCAGGGCATTTGGGGTGCAGATATGGTTTTAGGCGTTTGTTATCTGTAGCACTGGAAAATTTTAGAAGACTGGAGTTTGATTGTTTGTTAATCATTTTGAAAGACTTCAGTGTATCCTCTTGATGTTCTGTATCAAGATGTCTAGAGATGACACTTCTGAATGCTTTTGATCCACTTGACCTTTTTGGGATATGTTCTTTGCATCGGATATGCGCTCTCCTTTCTGTTCTACCAATGTAACTGACTTGGCTGATACATGTGAATATGTATATACAGTTGGTGGTAACATAAAAGTGATAGCTGTCGATCTTTGATTGTGCTAAAAAACATTGTTTTGAACAAGACAATCGGTTTAGCTGCAGGACAAGTTCTTGTCAATACAATTTTCAGTCTTATGTTGATTGATCCTGTCACAAAAGATTAATATTCGAAGTTATTTCGGTATGCCCACAAAAATAAGACGCTTACCAAGTGATTTTAGGGGATCTAGCATCCCAACAGTTTGCACGTATTTGTACTATGTTTTTTCCCAAGTTTGGCTGTTATTTCAGCTTAAAACATGTATCCGCAAGAGCCTACATACCACTTGTTAGGGAAATTAATAGTGTTTTGAAATACCTTGTATATACCATTTTAACACGATTTCACCCATTTCAGTTTGTATGGTGAATTAGGTATGGATTAGTGTCATTTTCCACGTTGTGTTTATCTTGATTTTTCTGTTGGTCGTAGGATGTGGGATAATTTATTGTATGTTATGTTCTACATGATACCCGAGTAGAATATTCTATCTGAGATCGACTTGTTTTTTGACTAACTTATTAACATGAACGTATTTTCTCTACATAGCTTATCACTGTTAGTGGCAAGCAGGTGGTTTCTGCAGTTTCTGTCGCGAATAACTCTGGTGTAGCTAATTCGAATCCAAATCAAGTAGTACACATTGTAAACAAGTCAACAGGTTTAATCAAACCTATTAAACTAGTTTCGACCACAACTTCATCTTCAACTGCTTCCAAAACTATCACTGTACAGCAAGCATCAGTTGGAACTGGCGTTTCAGGTGATCAGTAATTTTTCAAAACTTGGTTTACTTCTATTTATATGTTTTAGCTTTGATTTTTCTAAACTCCTGTCCAACTTTGGACCTATCGTGTGAACTTACATAATTCGTAAGACAGTAGTTTTTCGTTTAGTTTATTTTGAAGGTTTAAAGAAGCTATCCGCCCCTAAATGCCCTGGTATGGCCGAGAGTGAGGTGGGTCCGCCCTCCCTCTCGAAATACTTTCACACGGCCATGCGTATATAGCCTCTGCCAGGGAAGTTCTACTCACTGCCTTCTCGTGGCGGGGATGTTGTTTACGAAAATGAGAGGACGAATAGCTAATGTCCAATTGAAGTGTATCTGTTGCACATTATGACTATGTTTAATGAAAACGAATTTAGTTCACTTGTTTCTACAGTAGCCTAAATATTTATTTCCATAAAATTATTAAATCTTATTCTAATTTTACCACCTTTGAGACACATTTTCGTTTTCGTTTATTTGTTTCCTTTTTGATGATAAAGTTTCAAGTTGTACTTTGTTTACTTTTCGTTATTATAGTTCCGAAAGTAATCAAAGCTATTCCAGCAACGATGCTTCAAATGTCTGCGTCTGGTAAGCCTATTTTAATTGCTGGTGGTAGTGTATGCCGTCCGGGCCAGACAACCGTTCAAGTTTCAGGTTCTGTACACAGACCAGCTGGACAGCAAATAGTTATCATGAGTCCAACAAGTAAGACTGTTGTGAATTTTCGAAGTTTTCGTAGTTCTTTATTTCTTTTTTTATAATACAAAGGAATATAACCAATCTGTGTTAGGTTCATACATTCACAAAGGAGGACATTTTACTTCTTGTTTCCCTAGAATGCTGTATTTTGTCACACTATGATGTTAGTTTAATCATAGGCATTATGAGTACCCACTATCCTTTACTGCGCACATTCGGAATAATTGTGTATAAAATTATCTAGTCTCAGTAATTCATCCTTATTTACACGATTGGTTATGTACTCATCATAGTAAATTTCAGGTCTCAATTCTGGTTATAAAGTTCAGGTCGAAAGCTTTAGAAATTACTATGTTCACAAATTGACGATTTTCAGCTCGTTATCGTAGTTTGAATGGAGTGTTTGCAATCAAGTGGATTTGTTGACTAGGGTGAAACACTCACTTTCTACTTTGATATGTACCAGTTATTCCAGCTAATGTTGTTTTGTGATGCAAAGCATTGTTAACGTGGAACTTAAAAACTTTATTTTATTTCAGTATCCTCATCAACTGCCTTGCCTGCATCATCAAATTTGTACTTATCTTCTGGAGGTGCTACCAGCCAAATAATACGACAGGGAAATCAAACACAGGTAACCTTAGTCCGACGGGATCAATATGATTCAACACATGGTAATGCGAATGATCCTAGTAATACTACGTCATCGATTCTCCAAACTATTCCACAATTGGATGGTGCTATTGATGACGACGATGATGATCTTGATGAGGACGGTGGTAGTGCTAAAACCGATGCTTCAGCTATCCTTTTGGAGTCTAATTTAGGCAAAGAAAAGTTACATATGAAAGGAAATGTGGATATTCTACAAACTGGCAGTCAACATTCGCCAGCATATACAACAGTAAGTGTGCTTTTTACGTAAGAGTACCATTACAGTTGTTGATACATATAAGTCAAAATGGTATTTCTTGATTATAGTTATGTCTTCTTTGATCACTGGCATAAATGAATTTTTAACTATCGTTGACAGTTAACTGTTTATATTAAAGGTTTAAAACCTTATAACTGCATTATGTTAGTAGAGGACAAGCTTAAATTCATAGCAAAATAAACGGATACATCGTTTCCATTGTGTATTTGGTCATCTGTTACTTACTAGATAACTTCAAGTCAGTCCAACTGAACGAATTAATATAGTAATATAGAACTGGGATTTGATGTTTTCTGACTGATCTATTCCAAACCACCTAGGTGGTCAGATATTTGACATCAGGCCTGAGACCAACCAGATCTCACATGGTTCATGCATCGGAGTACCATCTGTAACCACCAAACTAGTTCATACACTTGTGTGTGTTAGTTGAATTGTAAATACCTTTTCTTGATTGTTTCGTTTTAATTACCAAGGATTAGCGCTTCAACCCAAAACGTTTAGTCCATGTATATTATTGAAACCGGTCTATATACGTGTTTCGAGTTTGGTCACATACGAAGGATTTATAAATGAACTGGAAAGTTTTTCTTGAATAATTAGTTTGTGCATCCACAGATTTAAGAAAATTAGGATTTATTTTAGAGAACTGTGCTTTTGAATTCATGTCGCTTAGTTTGTTTAGATGTTTCTATTCACGAACTGGTGCTGCATCTTGTTGTAGCAACCTTAAATTTTACTTAATCTCTCTTTTGCAAGCATCAGCATCTTATTTCGTCGTCATTTCACATTCATATCAAATAACTCATCCACTACAACTTTACATTAACAACTAGCTTATTTGTTTAAGACTTGATATATAGCTTAAACATAACTTATTCAGTGGTTTCACCACATTCTGTAAAAGTATCTATGGTTGAACACAGATAACCTACCGATATTTTTCACCTTTAATTACTGTGTCTCTATCTTAGAATTGCAGGAGATTGTCACAATGGGGTTTATTTCCCCTTACTCAGACTTAACCAACTGGATAGTGTGGATGCTGAGTTGCATTAAACTAAGTTAACCAAGGTCTCGTTTTGTGATAAACAGTTTGTTAAGTTTTCTCTTATTACGACCCAGCTACCCTTGTTGCTTAGTGTTCTTAAACAGTATCTCACTCGACACGTTCCCAAATCAGAACACAGATGAACAGGAGCGTAATCATACTCTAAATAACAAGGTTGGATGAAAGTAGGAATCACAATAAGAAAAATGTTGGTATATTTGTAATTTTTACATAAGAAGATTATGGAATTGTCCCCAGGTCTTCGTAGCGCTGATTGGTTGGGAGATAGCCAATAAACGTGCCCCAATACAATCCTGCACGGAACATGCTTTAATCCAATCTATATCCTGCTAACACAGTCGGATATTTCACTACCGATATATATTGATCAAAGTTAAACTAAACTTTTGTTTATGCACCGAGATTTCCCCAGCTAAATGAACGCAAAAAACACTGATATGTCATCTATCTTTGGAAATGTTGTAAAGGCGTTATAAACTAATGTCTTGAGCAGCAAGTTTGCAGTTAGACTTCACAGAAAAGTGAATGTTTTATACACTCCGTATTCGCCTGTATTGCTTCATTTCAGTGAATATGAAAGGCGACTTAAAAATTATCTGAATTATCACTTGAGGTGAAATTATTAGTCTTATATAATACAATCTGTTAATTTACTTGAATTTTTCTCATGTTTCGCCATTATTTGTAGCTTCATATAATGTTAAGTGAATACTCTTGTTTTTTCTTACTATTCTTTAATAAGGATGCAAATTCCGATTTACATACGTCATTAGCCGTGGAAGCTGCTGCTGAACTACTTGCAGACATTGGTGATGACAATACATCAGCGTATTCAGACCAAAATTCAGCGAGCGTTTCAAAAGAAACTGATCAGGCAGTCAGAAATTTGATTGATATCAAGCCTAATGTATTATCCGAAAATGTCTCTTCTAATACTGATCATGGAAAAAATTTCAGAGGAAATTCAGGATCTTATGAAGATCCAGTACATGCTAAAGGTTAGTTTAGTGGTCTCTTTTTTGAATACTTGTGTTTGGTCTGTTTTATCTACCAATTTTATGTTAGTGATAAGCTATTGTATTGTATTGATAACCAAATCAACGATGTGATCGATTTCGTTCAAGGATTGATTTATAATTGAACTGCAAACACAAGAAAACCAGGCTGGCTTCAAACCTGCTCGTGGCTGCATCAATCACATATTCACTATTCGTCAGGTTCTAGAACACAGGCATGCTTATCGGCGTCCGACAATGGTGGCCATTCTTGACTTGAAAACAGTATTTGACTCTGTAGACCGAGAGGTTCTGTGGCAGTGTCTGTCATTGAAAGGCGTACCTCAGAAGTACATAAACCTTGTGAAGGCTCTTTACTCGAACACTACTAGTCGAGTGAGAGCTTATGGTGAACTGTCATTTGTTTTTGCAACCTCAAGTGGTGTCCGTCAAGACTGCCCACTATCACCATTTTTGTTTAACTTCATCATAGATCTACTGATGGAAATAACTTTCTCGTTGACTGAGTTCTCGGGTATTGATCTCCATCCAGGAGGTCCACTTATCGACTTAGAATACGCAGATGACATAGTCCTGTTTGGTGAAGACGCTGATAAAATGCAGAGTCTATTGATAGCACTGAGCAGCAATGCCAAAATGTTTAGGATGTGTTTCTCCCCCTCTAAATACAAGTTGTTGATTCAGGAATAACCTGTATGAACACCTGAACTAAGGATAGGGAGTGAAGTAGTCGAACGCGTCCCAGTATACACAGCAAACAGACTGCAACGATAGGAAGCTACACTCGGATTATGACTTCAAGATCAATTACCAGCCCACTATTGATTTTAGACAAGTTGACGCTTTATCTAGACTGATTGGTTCACAAGCGAAACAAGAAGAGTATACTTTGGTGTCAGCAATTGAGACGGAAACAACAGTACACGGAGTATTGGAGGAATTCAAAAGATTAGAATTTGGGAGAACACAAAGAGTGGATGCACCTGCGCAATCGCAATCGATTTGGGGCCACGTCATTCAAGGTCTCTATCCATCGGTTGCTATCATCTCGCGGATCCCAATCAGGTAGTCTACACCTACCAACATGGTTCAGTTCACTTGTCAGTGACTTCATGGACTTGTGCCATGTTTTGGTCTGACTGCCCCTAGCTTTCTTCCAACCTACTCCTACACCACAAAACATCGCTCGTCGGGGCAGTCGGTGGTTGGGCATACGTAACACGTGTCCCAGTCATCTCAACTGTTGAAGTTTCACTACTTCATCAATTGATTTGTCATCCTTACCTAGTACCCGTTTCCTAACAACTGCGTTACTTACTCGATGGTCCCAGGATATACGAGCAATGCTTCGAAAACACCTCTGATCGAATACTAGAAACCTATGAATATCCTTTACTGTTACCGGCCACGTTTCACTGCCATAAAGTAGGACAGAACGAACTGCTGCTCAGTAAACCCGTCATCGTCGCTGAGTACCAAGAAAGTCGGAATACCACAGGAAAATAGTTATCAAGTTGTAAGTAGACTCGAAGAAGTCTTATTTCTTGAAAGGGGGAAGGTGTTTAGGAGACCCGGAAAGTTCCTGGAAAAAACCCAAAAGGGGCTTCAAAATGCTGAGAAACATCTTATCCAGTCATCATCCAATAGTACTTTTGCCAGAAACATCTGGAATGTCACATTTCCGATTGGATGATTACCTATCCTGCTGCTATGTTGAGCAGCGTTCCAGAAGCCCAAAGCCGTCTAAATGCTTTATATACCCTAGATTTTCTGTACATAAACTAACCTTACGGTTAAGTGTTCTTCTTATATTTCGCACCTTTACTCTCGTGTCTAAGTTGCCATGTAGATTTAGCCTGGGGGTTAATAGAAGAGCTTAGGAAACCGAATAAAGTGTTCAGTTTGAAAATTTATCAATACTTTTATCCCAATTTTATATGTAGATGGGAAGGAAGGAAATGGTAGTTCTCTTACTGATCCTTTGGAAACATTAGCGTTAGTTGCTGCTCGCCGAAGTGGAAGTGGTGATGATCACGGTAAGTCCATAATTTTCAATGTATTACTTAAAATCCTAAGGGTTTTTTTTGGCTAAATACATATTGTTACGTTTTACAATTTTATTTGCTACTCTATTTCACTTCATTCCGATTCATGTTATTTAAGTTTTAACACTCTTGACAAATCAGTGTACGGACATAATGGTTTCCATTGCCACGAGGATAATCCAACTTCCCTCCATCAACCCTAATATTCCTTATAAATTATAAAACGTGTTTTGCAAAGGTTGATTTATAGGCAATAAGAAACTGTCAATCCAAGAAACAAGTTGAATTTCGAATCTTAGTTTTAAGGTGTTAGTGAACTTTCTCAGTTCTCTACTCACAAACTCACTGAGACAGAGTATGAACTCACAGGACGTCGATGCATAAAGTAAAAACTCGTGGTATCACATTGACAATGATTTGGATCCCATCCTTCTCAGATAGAGTTGACCATAAACTCTGAATAAACACAACACATACTTACTTACGCCTGTTACTCCCAATGGAGCATAGGCCACCGACCAGCATTCTCCAACCCACTCTGTCCTGGGCCTTCTTTTCTAATTCCATCCAATCTTTGTTCATTCTTCTCATGTCTATCTCTATTTCCCGGAGTAATGTGTTCTTTGGTCTTCCTCTTCTCCTCCATTGGCCTTGAGGATTCCATGTGAGGGCTTGTCACAACACATACTTGTTCGTTTTTGTTCTACTGTTGGGACGAAAACATCTTTTGGTAGGATCGATATAAAGATACTTCTCCTGAAAACTAAGTGGGATTTCCTCTATACTCTAGTGTGAGAACATGTATGCCCGGTGAATTCATATCTCTACGCGTTAACAACAGAAATCTTTAAGGATACTGGGAAGCGTATTAGTTAATTTGATTGATAGTTAACACCTAAGATTCTATCATTATCTGGTTACTCAAAATTGCTGACCGTCCCAGTTCATACAGAAGCAATTGTATATCGGTTATTCAATGATTGAAAAGTTCAGAATTTCACCAAACTAAGCAGTTGTCACTGAAGGAAGACATTTACTGAATTAATCAATAAATAGGGCCCTACTTAATGATTGTCAAGCTAAGAGTATATTTCAGGAACAACTTGGAAAACAGTTAGGCAGCCATGTAGGTGATGCCCACCCTGAGGCAGCATGGAATGATGTCCGAAAAGCTGTGGAAACAACAGTGATATCTGCTAGTACGGTAAACCGTAAGGTTAGGGAGCAACACTGGATCTCAGCAGCACCTACCGCACTGATAGATGCTCGAAAACTCATTCCATCTGGCTCTGAACATAACGAAGAGCAGAGTCAGCTTAAGCGCAAGCTGACAAGAAGCCTACGCAATGATTGTGAACAGTGGTGGGTAGCGAAAGCAAGAGAGATGAAAAAGGCAGCGGCAATAGGTAATAGCAGACGATTGTTCAGACTTGTTAAGGAAACCGGTATTAGGTACCCGACTGTTAGCGAAACAATCTCAGAGAAAGATGGACATATTATACATTCTCAATCCAGGAGATTGGATCGATAGGCAGAACACTTTAGGGATCAGTTCAACTGGCCTTCAGCCACACTTCGGTTTCCCACGATCTCCAGTCAACCTGAATGACAAGTTAATTTAGGTCCTCCGACTCGACGAAGTTGAAAAAGCTATAGGAAATCTGAAGCGAGGGAGAGCAGCAGGCCCTGACAGGTTTACTCCTGAGATTTTTAAGGATGGTGGTCCAGTATTAGCAGTGAGATTAACTGAGGTCTTAGGTAGAATTTGGGAACTGGACGTAATCCCATCTGACTGGTCTCAATCACTGATTGTGCCAGTCTATAAGAAAGGACAAAAGTCCTCTTGTGACAATCACAGAGAAATCAGTTTGACTAATATAGTGTCTAAAATATTAGCTTCAATAATACTTCGACGCCTAACTAAAGCTCGTGAAGAGCAGACTAGAGAAAACCAGGCTGGTTTTCGACCTGGACGTGGTTGTATAGACCAGATATTCACACTACGTTAGGTCCTAGGACATAGACACACACTCAGACGCCCCAAAATAGTAGTACTTCTTGACCTTAAAGCAGCATTCGACTCTGTTGATCGTGAGGTTCTATGGCAGTGTTTGTCATTGAAAGGAGTACCAAAGAAGTACATTAACTTTGTAAAGGCTCTCTACTCGGACACAACTGGTCGAGTGAGAGCTTATGACGAACTGTCATCAAAATTGATTACCTCAAGTGATGTTCGTCAGGGCTGCCCACTCTCTCCGTTCTTGTTTAACTTTGTCATTGACGTACCTTTAGAGATGACACTTTCCTCATCTAAATTTCCGTTGGTTGAACTTCTACCAGGAGATTCACTTTTTGATTTAGAATATGGGGTCACTGAGGCCCACCCCTAGCCGGGTCCCCTTTTTCAGGTACCTTAAGAAGAACCCTTCCACGGTGTGGGCAGCAGTCACACGGAGCCCAACCAAGTTGTCTGCATCTACCAACATGGCTCAGACCAGAAGTTAGTGATTCTGTGGACTGCCCTCCTACCTCTAACGGCAAGGTAAGAGAGAGACATAAGCTACATAACGAATAGTAACTAAAGGATAGAGAAAATGAGTCAACAAAGCAAATATTGTTTTATGGTAGACGTAAAGTGGTGATTGGTGAATAAAAAAAGTATAGTCATACAAGGTCAAAGAAAAGTAATGTCGTGGTGAGCGTTTCATGTTATCATTGGTGGGTTGGCTTATCGATCACACTTCGCAATTACATCGTTTAAAGTTTTGACTTCCACTAAAAGCGCGTTTACAATAATAATTGAACTGTAACAATATTTCTCTAGAAAAGTTTGAATTTTAAACAAATAACTACCAACAAAATAATAACAAAAGATTGGTAGTTATTATCATGCTTGAGGGAGTGTTTGAGTAAGTTTCCTGTATGTGCTTTATTCCAAATAATATATTTTAGTGATGAAGGTTTCCTCTGTGTTAATAAAGAACTGATTTACCGTATCTAAGATTCTTCTTGGTCTGTTCGTATTTCGAGACCGTTTTAAGTCGGAATAATTCATTGTGCAGCTTTCTACATGGCCGATCTTTTTAACTGAATTCTTAAGTCTGTAATGACTTACACTGCAGTCAGTCAGCTACAATGTAGGACCAGGCACATATATCCATCGGTCCAAGTTGCCATACCTCATTACACACAACAAGATGAACACCGGATTCATAAATGTAGTTAATTCAGAGGTGGTAATATATAAAAGAAAGATTGTGTATAAGGAATATAGTATAGGAAGAGAGAATAAGTTTATAGAAAGATATAAAGCAATTCTAATCTCACAGTTTAAGGGATGACAGAGAGTGTATACACCTACTCCATTGTGATCGATTCTGAGCCATGTCACCAAGAGTCTCCCACCATTGGTTACGACAGTCACACGGACCCCAACCTAGTAGTCTACATCTACCAACATGGCTCAAACCAGAAGTTAGGGATTTTGTGGACTGATACCACGTTTCGGTTTGGTCGAACCTAACTGTCTTCCATCCGTCTAGTCAGCATTGCGCGTTGTGGTAATCAGTGTTCAAGCGCACGTAACACGTGACCCAACCATCTCAGTCGATGAAGATTTACAACTTGATCAACTGATTTACCATCATTCCCTAATACCCTTTGTCTAACCTCACTATTACTTACCCGGTGATCCCAGGAGATGCGAGAAATATTTTCAAGACGTCTGTGATCAAGTACTAATAAATCATGTGTATCCTTTACTCTTAATGACCACATTTCGCAGTCGTAAGGTAGAACAGAACGAACTGCTGCAGTGTATTCGTTCTTTAATTGATAGACGGATATCTCGCCTTCATCATAGGTGACGTAAGTTGGCAAAGGCCAAACGAGCTTTTCAAATCCGTGCTGAGATTTCATCAGATACCAACCGATTACGACTGATCAGACTTCCAAGGTAGGTGAAGTTGTCAACGCGTTTGACTACTTCACTCTCTATCCTTAGTTCAGGAGTTGATACAGGTCAGTCGTGAAGCAACAACTGCCATCTAGAAGGAGAGAAGCTCATTCCAAAAGACTGTATTCTATCAGCGTCTTCACCCAGTACTTACATGGGTGACTTACAGTGCCCGAATACTAAGTCGAACAACAAGGTCCTAATTGATGGGAGCATGAATAACCTATGAGCTAATTTCCTCCAGTCTCGTATGCCATTTTATGTTCATTTTGCGTTCATATTCTCTACACATTATGTCATTGCGTTTTTCTGTTGATTTGCATTGTATTCATCGATTTTAACAATCGAATATTTTCGTCTAATTAAATCACAGAAGACCTTCATCCATAACAATTGGTCTTTTAAGTTTGTAATATCAATGTTTTCCAAGAAATTCATTTTTGTCGTATTTATCTATTTTTCCGACAGAAAATGATTCAGTCATCTCACATTCTACAGTTTATTCCAATTCTGATTCACATGTTATTTGTAATTCAAATTCTGGTCGATTAGTTGCTGTTTCTCTCCCTTATTCTCGCCTGTCACCATTATCTTCCACTTTAGGAGGGGGACAAGTTTCTCGTTCTGTGACAGGTTTGGTCGCGAATTCCCATTCAATCGTAACAACATCTACCAATTGTTCTTTAATAAGTTCTTCGACTACTGTAACACCTGGTACATTGATTAGTCGAGGCGACAATTCTTGGCATGACGTTGGCGTTATTAAGTCGACAAATTATACTGTAACAATGTATTCAGCCTGTACAAATGATGCTGGTGTACATATGGAAGTACGTTTATAGTCATGACTTATACTTTGGAAAAATATCATCTTGCAACTTTGACAATAATTATTTTTTGAAAAGTGATAAAATATAAGTAAATAAAGGATCTCGGTGATTGAATGACAGTAAAGGATAAGGAAAAGTTTACCTCTTCACGTCACTTGTGTATTTAGACCTAAGCTTATGAGAACATTGTGGAGTATAGACCCATTATTCTTTTTTTCCCATGAATCATAGTCTGTTTATTATGTTGATAAACTACTTTCTAATGGATCAGTGATGTCCACCAGACAATGTTTTAGTGATAATAACTCTATGAGAAGCGATGTCTCACTAGTTTTTAAACCACGTTGTATTCAGCTAGTAGTTTACAGTTTCGAATCCTGTCCCACCTGCCTTGGTTTAGACAGCCAGGTTTTATTCACAAGCCATCACGCTAAGTAGTGTGACTGAAAGCTGATTACGTAAATCTGTACTTGGTAAACGAGTCACATTATCATGTTCTTATTAATAATACTTTCGATATTAGTTGAATAAATATTCTGTACTTGGAACCGTATATTAGCTTTTGATGATTGCTGTTCGTTATAGTAATAAAAAAATTGTTGTTTGTTACTTACCCTTAAAGATATGTTTTAGTTTGCCAGATTGATAAAACAGTTCTCTCTTGCATTTTACATAATCATTATTGATTAATATTAGAGATGTTAACTAATCACTGTCCATTGAACATAGTACTATCATTACAACTTTAACCTGCTTTTTGATTGTTGAGCAAATTCACATAAAATAAGAAACGAGCGTTCATTCATAGAAACTGGTCCGTTCCTTTAACAAATGGTATTTGACTGCATTTGTCTGTCTCAGAAACCATTTTAATAACATATTTCATGATTTCTTTTAGATCAATCCATTTTTTATTGTAATACTTTTTATTGTTTAAATAAAAAAACAGGCTATCACCGCATTACAGGGTCCCAATGGGATTGGACCGAATGGACTAACTACACAGGGTCCTAAATTCCAACTCGCTCCTGGAACAGCCTACAAATTCCGTGTTGCAGGCCTCAATGCTTGTGGTCGAGGTCCTTGGTCGGAGATAAGCGCATTCAAAACCTGTTTACCAGGTTATCCAGGGGCTCCCAGTGCTATAAAAATAACTAAATCGGACAGTGGTGCACATTTAACGTGGGAAGCGCCTCAGAACACGGCGGGAAAGATTACAGAGTATTCTGTCTATTTAGCTGTCAAGTCTCAAACTGCAGGACAAGATTCTACAGAGAGCAAGGTCAGTTGTTATTTTGTTGGTGAAGAACGTACTAAATATTTTGTGCAAATTTACCTGTAAATCGCTGTTTTTTTCTACATCAGTAACACTGAATCCATTATTTTCATTTTATAATGCTCGCACGATCGATAGCCTACGTAAATACTAAAGGTCATTGTCAGAATACCAACAAACTGAATAAGTATGTTACACTACGTATACTAAACCTCAGTGTATACATAAGTAGAAGATTCTTAGACAAAAATTCAGTAACAGATTTATAGTTGATTGATGTTTATTCATGGAAATTCTCTATTTTACTTTGCGTCCAAGCTATTGGCTTCCGTCATACTTCGTAGGTTGTTCGAAACCCGAGAAAGATTGACTCGCGAGGAGCAGGCTGGGTTTCGTTTTGGTCGAGGATGTATTGATCATATCTTCACCCTCACACATATCAAATGAGATCTGTGTGGCCCATATGTATTCGGTGCCTCATTGTACCAATATCTATGTGTTAAAATAAATAAATAAAATCTGAGCCGTCTTTTCTACCTTCGTGAGGTCAGTCTGGCTGTAAAAGGTCGGATCTACAACGTGTCGGTGAGAGCATTCTTGCTCTATGCTTGTGAAACCTGGCCTCTCCGAGTTGAGGATGCTAGACGACTCTCTGTATTCGATCATCGTTGTCTCCGAAGGATTGCTGACACCCAGTGGCAACATCATGTTAGTAATGCAGAGGTTCAGCATCGTGTGTTCGGGCACAGAGACGATAATTCAATTGGTGTCAACATATTGAAACACCGACTTCGGTGGCTTTGACATGTTCTTCGAATGTTGCTCCAGAGAATTTCTCGTTGTGCATTATTTGCCGACGCTAGGACTGGTCGGAAAAAGCGGAGAGGTGGTCAGTGTGTGACATGATGTCGTGGTATGAAAGAAAGCTGCACAGGACTGGCCTCTGTTGGTTCTTCACGACTCCCTGGTTGGGGTCTGAGAGATGGTGCAACACAGTGTCTAGAGACGTTATCAGATATGGCTCAGAATAGAAGCCAGTGGCGATCCTGCTGTAACCTTCTTTTACTTTCTTCCTAAAAAGTGGTTGTTTCTTCCTTAACTGAAAGATTTCTTCTGATTGTACATTTCCATTCCGTGTGGCGCATATATATTGGCGCTCTCTTGTATCAATATTTATGTGCTCAAATAAATAAATAAATAATTTTACTTACAGTTAGGACTAACGTAGAATATCTACGCAATAAAAATACTCATGAAATCTATTCTCATTAAAGAATACCTCCTCATATTTTGCTTATTTATTTCCTTTAAAATGATCAAGTGATTTGATTCTTTTAAACTGAAATTAGAATGATCAATGTGAGTCTGTTAATGCGTTCCCTAAACTTTATAATATAATAAGAATTTGATATAGAACAATAGTTCATGTAGTTTTGTAACTATCTTCACAGATGGGAAGTATTCTAAAATTCGAAGAAGTCTGTGTATTATGATTTCTCTTATTACGACCCAGTTACTCTTGTTGCTTAGTATTCTTAAACAGTATCTTACTCGACATGTTCTCAAATCAGAACACAGATAAACAGGAGCGTAATCATACTCTAAATAACAAGGTTGGATGAAAGTAGGAATCACAATAAGAAAAATGTTGGTATATTTGTAATTTTTACATAAGAAGATTATGGAATTGTCCCCAGGTCTTCGTAGCGCTGATTGGTTGGGAGATAGCCAATAAACGTGCCCCAATACAATCCTGCACGAAACATGCTTTAATCCAATCTATATCCCGCTAACACTGAATATATAATCCGGAGCATTTTATGAACCTCAATTAGGTAGACAAATAATTTTAATTATATGTAGGTATGCTGGTCACATTATTAAGTCGTTCTATCTAAAATTTCACTCATCCGTTCTTGCTGGTTTTACAGTCTTCGTTCTATGACATCTGTATAGGTTAATTCCTCTCTATTTGAATCTAATAGGTGATATCCCGTTAACTAAGTATCTAAGTAAGCCTGTTTTCGTAGTTATTATAATGAATCTACTCGAGAATACTTAAAAGCCAGAATAGCAGTTGTAGGGATGGTATTTTGTTAATAATCAGTAAAGTCCGCAAACACGCAGGTAAATGAGACTAGGTGTGTGTGTGTGTGTGTCCATTCAATATGCTTAGCATACATCCAACAAGTAGAATATTCATGATAGTTGTTAAAATAACAAATTAAGTTAGGTCACTATCATGTTCATTATATGAACATTGTTTGATTGGCGAATTTTTAATCTCAGATTGATACAAATCTCTATACTGTGAAATGTATACATACTAATCATATGTAACAAAATTAGGAAAATTTAAAAACTATATGAGCTAAGATAAAGTGAACTGGAGGAATAACTTAAAGTTTTGTTTAAATTACTGTCGCTATTTTTTGATGCTATTATGGAAATTGACTCGAGTTGTATTCGTAGTTGAATGCTTAGGAAATTTCACATCAACAAACTTATTGTAATGAGGTGAATTCATTCCATTTCATATGCTTTAAATCTTCAAAATATGTACTGACTTGTGTAGATACATAAAACGTTTTACAGCTGTAACTATTTACATAACATGTGTAGGAGTATTAGTTCTCTAGCGTGATCTGTAGCGTTAGCTTAGTTTCCCTATGGTATCCACAGTGTGATTGACTGTGCTTCTTTTACCTCCCTACTAATTCTTTCACTGTTTATCTATAGGTCGGTTCTACACCATCTGGTATGGCATTCGTTCGTGTATATTGTGGTCAATCACCCTCAGCAACTGTTACATCTGCAACATTGGCTACTGCTCATTTAGATCTTAGTTCAAAACCTGCTGTGATCTTTCGGATTGCTGCTCGCAATGAAAAAGGATATGGACCGGCGACACAAGTTCGTTGGCTTCAAGATGTATCTAATACATCTTCCTCTGTTGCTGGAATAAGTCCTCAACCCATCAATTTCCAAGCAACAAATGCCTCACAGCCGGTTACCAAGCGTGCTCTGAGTTTAGGAACATCACAAGAAGGGTAAGCCCATTGAGGTTGAACATAATAGCTTATAACTATTGGTTAGTTGCTAGTTGAACTCACGTGGTAATACGTATATGATCCACTGGTGGTGAGGTGAATTCGGGTAGATTTTGTTTTACGAGTTTACTTACCAAGTATCACTGCAAATATATTTGCCGAATAGAAGGAAACATTTGACGCAATCGGCAAGGCTCTTGATAGGCTAAGGAAATGGGAAGTGTCCAACAGGTTCATATTATCAATGAGACATATAGCTAAGCTTTAATAGTCATGGAAAACATTATAAATGAGCGACAATTGGAATTACTTTTAAATGATCTGCAGTTAATTTTTTAGGATTTGGAGTGGTGTGCGTAAGGGCATTGATATCTGCATTTTATTCGGCTGAAATTTAGTTACTAACAAGCTAGATACTTATGTAAACAGAAAAGCGACTAATCTTCTTATAGTTTGATGTAAAAGTAGCATTAACAATTAATTCATAGGCACATCATCGATTGAACAATGTTTGAAACTAGCTATCAATAAAGGATCACAAATCAGTCGATGAGATCGAGAAGCTTCATCAACTACAGATGCCTAACCATTATTTACTTTGAAGCTTAGTGTTGTCTGACTGAACGCTAGGGGTGTCCAAAGCAAAACGTGGGGTTAGCGTAGTCATTGACTGTTGATCTGAATCATGTCGGTAGTTTGCTGACTTGGGGTCAGCGTGATTATCATAACCAATAGTTGGATACGTTAGGTGACATTGCTCAAAATGAATTAATGGCGCAGATTCATACACACTTTCCCTTACTCTCAGATAATGGGTCCTAATTTTCTTTCATACTCTTCCATCTTTTCGAACTATATTCTTAATGTTCAGTCTTCAGCATTGCTACCACATCAATTTCAGTTTCTTTGCCACTCATCACATTATGTTAATGAGATATACAAGGACTTAGTCCAGTCCCACTGCGATGCTATCCGATAATGACGACCAACTGATCTTGGCTTAACAATAAATTAGGTATTGTTTTACACATGGTTGTATTCATCATTTGAATCATCGAGTCTCGTTCATGAACAGTTTTGTACAATCTACGTTTTTTTCTATATATAATTATTTCCAGAGCTTTTACTACACCAGTCAAGCGATTAAAATCAGATGACCAATTATAGACGTGTTTGTTGCTCATATACATGTTTTCTCCTTCAAAATCAACTGCACATTCCTTTCTTCATCCTTTGGAATTAGTGTGCAAATATGGTTTTTAATTACTATTATCATTATTTGGGAAATTTATACAAAATCCATCCCATTGCCCCCCCCCCTTATTTGCATTTCTAAGATTGTCTACTTTCTATCGTTTCATATTTGTTGTTGTTATTCTGAAGCACTAGAAACTCTGCAGTATCTGAAATATTTTAGTGTTTCTGAAATTTTGTTTTTCAACTGTTAATGATAAATTATTATTAGTTTTTCATCATTTGTTCAAGCTTAAAATCTGCTGAAAAATGTACATATATATATATATACAAATTCATATGTTGTCCTATTTAATTTACTTGAAACACTGATTTGCTTATTTTTGTGGATTCATGTTTTTTTTGTTTGTTTTCTTTCTGACATTTTGTACAATTGTTTATTATTATTATTTCCTCTTATAATTTCTTTGTACTTATTATTATATGTGTATATTTATTCACTGGCATGTTTTTATTCAACTCGTTTTGTTTACCGTTTATACATTTTCTTGATTACTGTCATTTTCATTACTGTCCCCATATGGGCATAACAAAAAATAGTAATTATTCTCTTACTTTTGGAAAATAAGTAGTGAGAAGCTTAATAACTTAAATATATAAGAACAAACCTTATTACTCATTGCCTTTGGTCTCGACAGTTTGTGTACGTTTAAGTTTAGTTTATTATATTGTGTACAGTTTTGATAGTGTTTGCTTGGTTATGCCTTTTGTTAAGTTAACGATAAAAAAAGTTTATCTTACTTGTACAGATTGACTATTCGATTAATGTCATTGTCCTCAGTACACAAAGACTTCTGATGTGTATTTTTGAAAGCATCAAATTTCAGCTAGGTTCATGCATTTCCCACCATTATGGTGTTTTGTATTAAGAAGAGTATGAAAAGTTTTTATCTACTGTCTCCGACAAAACTCAACACAAAATTTTATGGGCACAATTAGAAATTTAATCGGTCTGTTGCAAACTGATAATACGTTAAAACAAGGCATTAGACGGGTGTGGTTATTTATTGCGAGAGGTTACATATGCATATACATAGCCCTTAATCATAAATGTCTTCGAAGTATTGCTCGTATATCCTGGGACCATCGAGTAAGTAATGCAGTTGTTCGGAAACGGATACTAGGTAAGGATGACAAATCAATTGATGAAGTAGTGAAACTTCAACAGTTGAGATGACTGGGACACGTGTTACGTATGCCCAACCACCGACTGCCCCGACGAGCGATGTTTTGTGGTGTAGGAGTAGGTTGGAAGAAAGCTAGGGGCAGTCAAAACATGGCACAAATCCACGAAGTCACTGACAAGTGTATTGAACCATGTTGGTAGGTGTAGACTACCTGATTGGAATCGGCGATATGATAGCGACTGATTGATAGAGACCTTGAATGACGTGGCCCCAAATCGATTGCGATTGGGCAGGTGCATCCACTCTTTGTGTTCTCCCAAATTCTAATTTTCTGAATTCATGTTCCTTTTTTCGTCTTTCCAAATTTATTTCACTGGATTATACTCCTTGGAAAGCATCATCAAACCCTAATCTTTCCGATTACTGTTTATACTCTTACTACCTCTAACACTACGGGATTTAAATCGACAACTGCATCTCTGTGCTAATGTGGTGTGGCAACTCGAACTGATGTACGTACGTATGAAGTTCCGCGTTGCTGCTGTTGCATTTATTCATCCGTTTGCGTCTTCCAATGTTCTGCCAACATCGTGACTTCGAAGGACTGAAACTGTCCGACGGTTGTTGCAGCTTTGACGCCGTATTCTGATACACATTACTTACAAACGTCCTTGTGCGCGGCATCAATTAAAATATCAATATTGGCCGTAACTCCACTAATCCCCCTAGACCTAGTAACAGTGCCGTGTAACTCTGTTAACTGGTGATCATAATACATTCCGAGTCTTTTTATGGTGAAGCAGTACATAGTGTAATTCCCGGACGAGTTTATTGGTCAGTCAGTTACAACGAAGAACTTCGTACGTACGTACATCCGTTCGAGTTGCCATACCACATTGGCATAGAGATGTAGTGGTCGATTCAAATCCCGTAGTAGTAGAGGTAATAAGAGTATAAGCAGTAGTCGGGAAAATTAGCGTTTGGAGATGTTATTCAAAGAGTATAGTACAGTGAAATAAATTTGAGAGGAGAAAAAAAGAGACAAGGAGGAATAAGGAGATCGAGATTTGGGAGAACATAAAGAGTAGATGCACCTGAGCCATTGCAAACGATTTTGAGCCATGTCATTCAGGGTCTCTAACCATCGGTTGCTATCATCTCGCGGTCCCCAACCAGGTAGTCTACACCTACCGACATGACTCAGACCACTTGTCAGTGACTTCATGGACTTGGTATGTTCTTCAGTGATTATTATTTAGGTGAAGATTATAAATGGTCAAGCATTAATGGTTACTCAGATTAGTAGCAATCTTGGTCTTGTCTACCTACTGTCAAGTTTGCTATTTCATCTCAAGTGGTGACACCAAATATTATATAATATTCTAGGTATTTTAAACTACGAATCGCTATGTTTTCCACAAACAACAATGCTGAAACACCGTTTATAACAGTAAGTTAATGCGTCAGTTTGCATACACGCAAATTCAGATAGACATACTTTCGCCGTACGTCCGATTAACTACTTTTATTTTGAACACGACCCGTCATTCATTCAGTGTTGCAAAACCGATCCTAACATATATCACTAATGATGAAGTCGTAAACCTTTATCATTACATCGTTGATGTAAGCTAGGTAGCTACCATCGCCGGTTATGACTGCCACTAACGTCTGTCCGGAGATTACATTTCGATACTCCAGTATCAGGTGGACCGAAGTTAAGCGACTTTTGCTTTAGGTGCTGTCTCTCATCTGCTCGTATTGTTGGAAAAGTTACGTAATACTTCCAGGCACAGTAGTTGCACAGCTATATGATGTGTCGTGGTAGAATTTGCGCGACAGGAAAACCTATGGTGACCATTAGAGTATGACATGCGACAACAACCGGTTCCTCGGCAGAGAAGACTGGAACTGTCCGCGTTTTCCGCAAAAGTTCTGTAGTCTAATGCTCCTTATTCTTCAAAATGTGTTGCTAAGCCGCTGTCGAACTGCGCGGTCGTCGTACAACTGTTAACACTTGAGCATTGTCTTATCACAAGCTTATTAAGGTTGGGCTCTAAAAAAATTGGCGAAAAGTCTACAAAAGTTAATTTCCAAGAAAATGAATACGTATGGTATACAACTCCAGAAGAAATTGTTTTTTTTTCTGTTAACTACTGAGAATACTTAGTGTTATGGCGTATGGAAATAGTGATACCAAGCTCTTGGATTTCTGCGTTTGATGTGCATGAACACAATAGACCATCGCTTACGAAGTTAAACGGGAGGGGGATAGATGGTCTTGGAATGAAAGGATATCGGGAGTGCCTCAAGTGACGTCAATAGTCTACTATGTTCGTTAAAAGTAATGATGAGTGTTGAATACCCGTTGGGATCTTCTGTAGGATTATCTACCGCTCACAGTAGTATTAGAATCGTTATAATTCCTGTATACCAGAAACTTATGTCATTTTTATGACACCTAAATATTTGGTTTGCACATCCGTTAATTCTATAAGCACTTTGGGATCTGGTGGAAATCTCAAGGTTAAAGTAGTTGATTCTAGACCAATTTTTCAATTGATAACTTTCAATCCTCTGGCAGTTCTACTGAAAGAAGTATAACTGGTTTACAGCTTGTATTGCTTAGATTAAACAAACACATTTCAAAAAAGAATTATATGAAAAATCCAGTAATGCGATGATCTAGTAGTATTTACAAAATTTGTACAAAGAATGGTAAACTACTCTGGTTCACTGTTTGTCTCTTCTGAATCCACTTCTTTACTTTGACGTGATCGTTTGGTTTTTGGCAATCTGTCATTGTTTGATGAATCTTTCCTTTTTTTCTTTATTTGTTTCTGCTTTTCCTTGATACGTAGGTTCTAAAACAAATTTAACAAAAACTGGAACCAACTTTGATGGTATACAGCATGAAAAATGTGAAACGTAAGGTGAGACGGGGTTCAAACTCTTGACTTAGTGGCCGAAAGTTCAACTCTTTGGTCATAAAGCCACTGTTTTAATCTCAGTAATGTGATTTAATTACTGGTTTTCTAGCATTACATATAGAAAGTATGTGTTAGAGAAAATTTGTCCGAAAAAAATGGAGTCCTCTCAACCAAGCAACTGGCATGACGTACAGAATAGTCCAACTAGCCACTACCTATATTTCATCTGTTCATTAGTCACGGTCAATCTGAATGAGAGGTTAATATCGGGTCTTGAACTCATCAAAGCTGACAAGGCCACAACTAAACTCAAGGCAAGAAAGATCTGTTGATATTGCCGGGTTATGTTCCGAGGTCGTTAAGAGGAGTTGTCGCTTTAGCAGCTTAGTTTTATTTATTTGAACACATAAATATTGGTACAAAGGGGCACCACATACATATGCGCCACACAAGTCGCTTGATTTGTGTGTGGGCTTTGATAGTGCCCAGACTGAAGCAGGTGGTTTAGCAGCTAGTTTAGACGTTATCCAATCAAACTGGTTACGATCTTTCATTTTAGAACAGAAGTCTTCATATGATATCCAGGAATTAGTTTAACCAATACATGTTCGTTTAGGCCCTGTTAATGATTACTAAAAAAATTATGAACGACCCAAAACTATGCACAGTTATATATATATATACTGAGAACCATTAACTTACTGCACGAGCTTCTTTGTCAGCTTGTACTACTTGTTGTCTTAACTGCGAATTCAAGCATCTGTTCCAGGCCAAGGTAACTGAGGAATTCTTTCGTTTAAAGCTGACTCTATAGCTTTCAACGTGTAACTGAATAAGGAGTAACAAATGTAATAGCACGTCCGTGTCGTCCAGCACGAGCAGTTCTTCCTACTCGATGTATGTATGCTTTTGCAGAATCAGACCACGATGGCCGACGTGGGACATCGTAATTAATAACAAGATCAACATCTGGAAAGTCTAACCCCCTTAATGAAGGTGTTTTTTAAGAAGGAAGGAAGTAAGACAGATATTTAGTGTATTTTGTTGAAATACAAAATTCGAAAAATAATGAAAACTAAAGAGCATGGGAAAGTAGCTTACTAGGAAGAACGTACGACAAAACTCTGAGGAAAACGTTTATGATGCTCTAGAAATCTTGCCCTGGGGCTAATTCTGTTCAATCTCTAGTCAGACCGTAGGGGTTCGCGTAATTGGGCGCGTCCGATTATCATTATCTGGGTGGTGGCTAACTATGGTTCAATATGTATACTGAACCTTCATTTGTTGTTTTTATTTATTTATTTGAACACATACATATGCGCTACACAGTCACTTGATTTTCGTGTGGGGTGTGATACTACTTGGGTACCCAGACCGAAGCAGGTGGTTTTCTTGGGGGCCACACCCGGAGCCTTCGATTTAAAGGTCTGATCTACAAGGCAGTAGAGCAACGTAAGGAGATACGGTTCCGTGGTAGCCGGTGAGCAATAATTGGTTCATACGCAATTTGTTCTTTCAGGATCCTGGAGTCCATGTGCACCATTGGTTTGGAATCAGGGTTTTCCAACTCTCCCTAGGTGGATCCTCCATATCCACCAACCCGGTTAAAACGTCGGACATTTGCTTTTCTTCCTCTTAGTTTCGTTAACAACACCCCAGCCACGAGAAGGCAGTGAGTATGACTTCCCTGGCAGTGGCTGTATGCACTTGGCCATGTGAGAGCATTCTGAGAGGGAGAGCAAACTTTCCCCACTCTCGGCCGTACCAGTTAGCTTTAATGTAAGGCATTCGTACCACAGATCATATTTCAGTATGATTATCACAGAACTCGCGTACCGCGAAATAGTTCGGTTAGTGATACTTTATAACTGAAACATTTTCTTTGAATGCAAAAGACATGTAAGTTGTTAGTATTCGATGAAACGTTTCTTCGAACGATCGATCGTATATGCTAAAATAATAGAAGGAGCAACCTGAACGTCGGATTAAAATGTAACGTACCAGTGGAAAATCGTTGATGAGGTTATAAACAACTATCAATTAAGGTTACAACGAAGCTTACCTATATTATGCGATTGTGTCTTATCCTAGTTAACATTAGTGTCAACCTAAGGCTTATGTAAGAATGAAGATTTCTATATTAACTTCTGAGAGTTGACTCTATCAATTAGTGAATACCATAGGTGTTTGACAATGGTTAGAGTAATATTTACTCAATGCAGAAAGAAAATGATATTGGTTGTCACCACTCAATGGTTGATTCGCACAGAAATAAATCTCATAGGAATCATAGTCTTGAGAAATAATCTTCGGCTTAGGTCTCTTATGATAAGGACAATAAATGTTTAACAATTAATATATAAAGTGTCACTTGATGAACTAATACATTAATTTGATGAGTCAACATTTTTAACAACAAAAAGGTAAAATAAAACAACTGTCGAAAAAACTCAAATGTTATTTTTTTAAAAAGTACAGTAACATCACTAATAAATGTTCAAGTTTTAGTGCTAGGCCATACCAGGGCATTTAGGTGCTAGGTAAAAGAATACATTTTTCGTCTTGAAATGTATTTTTAGACATTTATTCTATGATTGGGCACAAAAGTTGTGAACAATCAAACTCCAACTTTATTCAAAGTTTGCGTTAGTCTTAAGAGATATTACTCAAGACTGTGAGGTACAAATAAGTATGAAGATTTATCTATGTATATTCAATCCAGTTTTCAGTAGAAAGTAACATATGTAGACTTTTTTTGTAAACTATTTGTAATCCTAGTAACCTTAAAAAGACAATCAAATAATAAAGAGTTACGGAATGATCTGTTTCGAGTTTTTTGGACTATACTGCTGAAGTTAGGAAAATTAGTCGTACATATAGATAATTCAAATTATACATTTTTATCATTAAGACCATTCATTATACCGCCCATTTGATCAGGGAAAATAAAATCACTTCTGAGATTAATCAGAAAGTAGTGAATCAAAGAAAAACAATATCAACGGGAAAAATTTAAAATGAAACTTATGGTGAACTTACCTGGAGGCCAGATCGGTAGCTACAAGTATTGAAACACGACCTGTACGAAAATCGAATAAAGATGATTGGCGTTTATCTTGCTGCATAACACCATTAAGTGGGGCAGAACTAGCACCAATTACATCGGCCAAACTTTTAAGCATTGCCACTAAACGAAACGATTCTCTCCATGTGCTTGTGAATATAATCGATCGACTATTGTCTGCGCTCTAGAATATGTGTACACACATACAGAAATGGTGACGCAATATGATAATTTGTTACTACTTAAGCTTCCTTAAAACTTTTTTCATCATTATTTGGTGTAGAAGGTTTACTAACTCACTAGAAAGTAAAAAGTTATTCTGTTACAACTCACTTGTTATTGGGATGTGAGCTCATGGTGTTGTTGAGAGACAAAGAAAGCTTCCCCACTAAACTATCAAGATAACAGGAAAAACGAATATCAAATCCTCATTATGAGCTACAAATATTCACCACCATCTCAAAATGATGTATTAATCATCAGTACCTGAAATTTGGGGGAAAAGTTCCTATATGAATAATCAACTACGCTGGCTGTTAAGACAGTGCTAGGGTGTAGTTAGTAGCAAAAACCACCAGAACGATTCAGACACGAGGAGCAGAGTCTATGATAAACAAGATGGATCTAAAATGAACAGATCATAAACACATTTTAGATATACTAATTGTGAATTAATATCACTTCGTGAGCAACCCAAATAGCTTAGTTGATCCGTGAGCGTGACTGCAGAACCTACTTGAAGGCATTTACATTTGGCGTTTTAGTGAGTCGTCGTTTTTGTAGTATTCGAATTGTACCTTTAAAACTGGTAACCTTAGGTAAATGTGTGAGATTTTCGGAGGCAATCTTCTCTTACAAGTGTTTTGGTCAACTGATCGATTGAACTGTCACGATAAGCAAACCTGAATACTGTGTCAACTTATCAGAAATGCAGATAGAAAAACTGTTTACTCATAAAAAACGATATCGAAAAGGAAAACATATTTTGCTGACGCTAACAATCCAAAATAGTTATAAGTCTGTTGATGTTGCAAAGTTTTTGAGCAGAAAAACTAAAAGCAGAATGCTTTAGATTCAGAGACTAATAAGAATTCAATCAGCTACAACGTAGGACCAGGCACATATATCCATCGGTCCAAGTTGCCATACCTCATTACACACAACAAGATGAACACCGGATTCATAAATGTAGTTAATTCAGAGGTGGTAATATATAAAAGAAAGATTGCAATAAGGATATAGTACAGGAAGAAAGAATTAGTTCGTAGAAAAAAAGATATGAAGCGATTTTAATCCCATAGTTTAAGGGATGACAGAGAGTGTATACACCTACTCCATTTTGATCGATTCTGAGCCATGTCACCAAGAGTCTCTCACCATTGGTTACGATAGTCACTCGGACCCCAACCGAGTAGTCTACATCTACCGACATGGCTCAGACTAGAAGTTAGTGACTTCAAGCACTGATACCACGTTTCGGTACGGCCGCCCCTAACTTTTTTCCAGCCACCCCGAACACCGGTTAACATTGCACGTCGTGGTAATCGGTGTTCAGGCATACGTAACACGTGGCCCAACCATCTCAGTCGATGAAGATTTACAACCTCATCAACTGATTTACAATCATAACCTAATACCCTGCGTCTAACCTCACTATTACTTACTCGGTGATCCCAGCAGACGCCAGCAATATTTCTAAGGTATCTGTGGTCAAATACTAGTAGCTTAAGAGTGTCTTCTACTCTTAATGGCCATGTTTCGCTGCCGTAAATTAAAACAGAACGAATTGCCGCGCAGTATACTCGTCCTTTTATTGATAGACGGATATCTCGCCTTCGCCATAGGTGACGTAAGTTGGTGAAAGCCAAACAGGCTTTTCGAATCCGTGCTGAGATTTCGTCAGACACCAACCCATTAGGGCTGATCAGACTTCTAAGATAAGTGAAGTTGTCAACGCGTTCGACTACTTCACTCCCTATCCTTAGTTCAGGTGTTGACACAGACCAGTCCTGAAGCAGCAGCTTGCATTTAGAGGGATAAGCGCATTCCAAACATTCTGGCATTGTTGCTTAGTGCTACCAGAAGACTCTGCATTTTGTCAGCGTCTTCACCAAACAGGACTATGTCATCTGCGTATTCTAAGTCGATAAGTGGACCTCCTGGATGGAGATCAATACCCGAGAACTCAGTAGACGAGAATGTTATTTCTATCAATAGGTTTATGATGAAGTTAAACAAAAATGGAGAAAGTGAACAGCCTTGACGGACACCACTTGAGGTTGCAAAAGCAGATGACAGTTCGCCATAAGAAGTAAATGAATTTAGGACAGTACAAGAGCCACGTCAGTTATTCTGCCATCATCAAGGACGCAAATTTCAAGGAGTCAAGCTACAAAGTTTGTAGACTATTCCAAATTAGTTCAAATCACATTTGATATTATGATTAGGCAGTTTTATATTGTGACTATATACTAAACTTTCTTAATATACTTTTTAAAATCCACATAGGCACAAAATAAAGAGCGCATGAAAATGTTGAAGGTTAACACAGACCACCCGGGTTGATAGATACTTACTATTTGGCTAACTGACCCACATACAATCATTTTTAAGTCTCTATATGAGTCCATTATTCAGTCACAAGAAAGGATGTCATTTAAAAGAACTTTTGAACAGTAAACAATAACCGAATTCCAAAGAATAGAAATAATAGCAATAATGTTAAAAAAAGAGCTAACCTTAGATGACAATAATAGTAAATATATAAGGTAAAAATCCCTTTCTTTATCCGGAATAAAAACAAATGCATGATCTAACTTGTCAACTTTGCTATATTTTGAACTGACTTCAAGTATAACTGGTGACTGGGTGCATACCTTTCGTATTTTATCAACCTGGAAATCAATAGTGGATTACAAGACGACAACTTACATTCTGTGTCATGGTAGCTGAATATAAGAAGGTCTGTTTATTGGGATGCAACTTTGTTATTATGAAGGCTAACTGTTGTTCAAAAGTATCCTCCAACATTTGGTCAGCCTCATCAAGTACAAAGTACCTAACGTGATTTAAGCGCAATTCTTTCGTATTTTCAAGATGATAAACTATTCGGCCAGGTGTCCCAACAATTACATGGAATTTAAGTCTTTTTAAATCACGAACTTGATCTTCAACATGTTGGCCACCTACCAAACACACCACCTTCAGACCAAATTTATCACCTAGTTCCATAAAAAGACACTTGACTTGAAGAGCTAATTCTCTTGTTGGAGTCAGTACCAATGCAAAGTTATGTCTAGGCTTTGAGAGTAAATCTTGTAATATTGGTATGGCAAATGCGGCAGTTTTCCCAGATCCGGTTTCTGCAAGTCCCACTATGTCCTTTTTACGAAGAGCAGCCGGAATAGCTTTCAGCTGTATTTCAGAAGGTTTCACCCAACCAAGAGTTGAAATAACATCACATATTTCATTACAAACACCCTAGAAATTTATGATTATATATATATAGCTTTTAAACTTACTAGTTCCTTGAAACTTTTAGAAGACATATTTTGAGCTTCTGAATGGCAAATTGAAAGAAGTGTAGAACCTTTAGGATAAAGAGAATTTGACAAATTGAAGTTCATTACTGAATAACGTAAACAATCAGGCCTGTTGGAACACTAGTAAATCTTTGCAAATGAACTGACAAAACCAAGGGAGGAGTAGATTCGTATTCACTAAGGAAATTTGTTAATATAACAACTTATACGATCTTACATTAGACTTATTCAACTTTTCCATGTAGTAGCAATTCTCTTATCAGTACCTTTAGAGGCTAGAAAACCTCTGGTTTATAACGGCCTACGTGACTAATTACTACCTAAAAATATTTTTCACCCCAACAGTACGATTTCGAAGATTACTTCTGCAACTCAATCTGATGACTGCAGTAGATAAACCAACTACCACCCACGACCTGAAGGAGGTGAGTGTAGTGTACTTAGATTTCTTCGGAACCCCTGATGGGGTCGATAACATTCCCTGCCAAGCTGATAGGCACTAGGTCACCATTGATAGACTGGCCTAAATCATATCGGAATAAATCGACCATTCACTCAAGTCACAGTCAGTAACAACGTAGAACTTCGTACGTACGTACATCAGTTCGAGTTGCCACACCACATTAGCACAGAGATGCAGTGGTCGATTCAAATCCCGTAGTGGTAGAGGTAATAAGAGTATAAGCAGTAATCGGGAAGATTAGCGTTTGGAGATGTTATTTAAAGAGTATAATACAGTGAAATAAATTTGGGAAGAGGAAAAAAGAGACAAGGAGGAATAAGGAGATCGAAATTTGGGAGAACATAAAGAGTGGATGCACCTGCGCCATTGCAAACGATTTTGAGCCATGTCATTCAGGGTCTCTAACCATCGGTTGCTATCATCTCGCGGTCCCCAACCAGGTAGTCTACACCTACCAACATGACTCAGTTCACTTGTCAGTGACTTCATGGACTTGTGCCATGTTTTGGTCTGGCCGCCCCTAGCTTTCTTCCAACCTACTCCTATACCACTGAACATAGCACGTCGAGGCAGTCGGTCGTTGGGCATACGTAACACGTGTCCCAGCCATCTCAACTGATGAAGTTTCACTACTTCATCAATTGATTTGCCATCCTTACCTAGTACCCGTTTCCTAACAACTGCGTTACTTACTCGATGGTCCCATGATATACGAGCAATATTTCGAAGACACCTATGATCAAATACTAGTAACCTACGAATATCCTCTACTCTTACCGGCCATGTTTCACTGCCATAAAGTAGGACGGAACGAACTGCTGCGCAGTAAACACGTCCTTTGGTTGATAGACGGATATCTCGCCTACGCCATAAATGACGCAAGTTGGCAAAAGCTAGTCGAGCCTTCTGTATCCGTGCTGAGATTTCGTCACACACCAGACCACAAGGGCTGATGAGACTTCCAAGATAAGTGAAGCGGTCGACACACTCAACTACTTCACTCCCTATCACTAGTTCGGGTGTCGATGTAACCCAATCCTGAAGCAACATTTTGCATTTCGAGGGAGAGAATCGCATCCCGAACATGCTTGCATTGTTGCTTAGAGTGGTCAGAAGACTCTGCATTTTGTCAGCGTCTTCACCAAATAAAACTATGTCATCAGCATATTCTAAGTCAACAAGTGAACCTCCTGGTAGAAGTTCAACCCCTGGAAATTTAGATGAGGAGAGTGTTATCTCTAAAAGTACGTCAATGACAAAGTTGAACAAGAATGGGGAGAGTGGACAGCCCTGACGAACACCACTTGAGGTAATCAATTCTGATGACAGTTCGCCATAAGCTCTCACTCGACCAGTTGTGTTCGAGTAGAGAGCCTTTATAAGGTTAATGTACTTCTTTGGTACTCCTTTCAGTGACAAACACTGCCATAGAACCTCACGATCAACAGAGTCGAATGCCGCCTTAAGGTCGAGAAATACTACCATTGTGGGGCGTCTGAATGTGTGTCTGTGTTCTAGAACCTGACGTAGTGTGAATATCTGATCTATACAACCACGTCCAGGTCGAAAACCAGCCTGGTTTTCTCTAGTCTGCTCTTCACGAGCTTTAGTTAGGCGTCGAAGTATTATTGAAGCTAATATTTTAGACACTATATTAGTCAAACTGATTCCTCTGTGATTGTCACAAGAGGACTTTTGTCCTTTCTTATAGACTGGCACAATCAGTGATTGAGACCAGTCAGATGGGATTACGTCCAGTTCCCAAATTCTACCTAAGACCTCAGTTAATCTCATTGCTAATACTGGACCACCATCCTTAAAAATCTCAGGAGTAAACCTGTCAGGGCCTGCTGCTCTCCCTCGTTTCAGATTTCCTATGGCTTTTTCAACTTCGTAAAGAGACGGAGGACCTACATTAACTTGCCATTCAGGTTGACTGGAGATCGTGGGAAACCGAAGTGTGGCTGAAGGCCAGTTGAACTGATCCCTAAAGTGTTCTGCCCATCGATCCAATCTCCTGGATTGAGAATGTATAATATGTCCATCTTTCTCTGAGATTGTTTCGCTAACAGTCGCGGTTTCCTTAACAAGTCTGAACAATTGTCTGCTATTACCTATTGCCGCTGCCTTTTCCATCTCTCTTGCTTTCGCTACCCACCACTGTTCACAATCATTGCGTAGGCTTCTTGTCAGCTTGCGCTTAAGCTGACTCCGCTCTTCATTATGTTCAGAGCCAGGTGGAATGAGTTTCCGAGCATCTATCAGTGCGATAGATGCTGCTGAGATCCAGTGTTGCTCCCTAACCTTACGGTTTACCTTACTAGCAGATATCACTGTTGTTTCCACAGCTTTTCGGATATCATTCCATGCTGCCTCAGGGTGGGCATCACATACATGGCTGCCTAACTGTTTTCCTAGTTGTTCCTGAAATATACTCTTAGCTTGACTATCATTAAGTAGGGCCCTAAGTCACAGAGAGTATTAGTGGGATTCTACAGTCTAGTGCTAGGACCGCTTTTCTAATTGATTGACACAAATGACTCTTCTTAGCAAGCATCATCCACCATATTACTTCTTCAGACGATGTTGAGCTCCGAGAAGTTCGCAAACAAGGTGTTGAGCTGGCAATTCAGGAATGTCTGACCCGACATTAAAATTGGGCTGGTAACAATGGAATTACTTATAACACTACGATGTGTAAGGACGTCCATCTGGGAAATGTTGCAAACTATACATGCAATATGGTCGATTCCCTCCTAGAGTTAGAAAGCGTAGTAATACTCTGGGATGTAACCAAACGCCAGCCACGAAATCAGTTTGAGGACTCACATTCGAGCCTCCTAAGAAACATCTCAAGCCACGGGATCCTTACTCATTAAAGTATAGGGAACTTTCGAACGACATATAGCATTCCGAACACTTCTAGGGATCCCATGAAACCCCTAGGCCTAGCCCCAACATGAAACTTAGTGGCAATACCCAGAAACTCAGAGTACAACAAAGTGAATTGGACTCCTTCCGAGTAGTAAGGTCTCGGAGTTCGCTATTCGCTGAGATGGTACAAGCAACTTTCCAGGAGTCCTACGAAATGAAATTTGATATATTCTAAGAAGTTCACGACATTACTTTATGCTAACTTACAAATACTTCATTTCTGTGGTTTATGTACCTGGGTACATATCTGGAAGTATCGTTGATCAACAGTTACTAGACATGGAATCCCGTTACGTAAAAGCCTTTTTTGCTTCTTTGACAACCTTTTGAACCACTTTGATTGTGGTTACCAAGATTATGGAAAATATCACTCAAGGCGAACAACTTAACCACACACGAACACACTATTCGCCAACACTGGGGTGACACGGATTTTGGACAACTACAGATATCCGAATCACAGTGTCCTTCCCAGCCCTGTGAACATGCAGAAAGCCAGTCAGGTACTTATCACTAACAAGTTTTTTGTCCAAAACATGTGTTGATGCTTACTTGTTATCAAGTAGGATTTGAACTTACTCTCAAAGCTTGATAAATACAGATATAAAGAACATGTAAATATAACATGTGGCGCGGCAGATGAGCTCACGTTTAAAACTCTTGCTTGTTTTAATACGTGTGCGAAGATGCTAACACATACCTCACTATCGCACCATGACATAAGGGCCTTCATGTACGAAATTCCGCGAAAATTCCAAGGTCATGCTAATGTACAGTCTTTATTTGAAGAAAGAAGACCAAAAGATTACCTGTATTATGATATGAACAATCAATTCTCTCCTGTAATCAAATGGGAAATTTACGTGTACGGTAATTGATGTGCGAAATTGTCACCAGCTGTTTGATTCAAATGATTCCAAATGGTTCTGGACGGAAAGGAAGGAGCTTTCGCTTGGCGAGCTTATGTATCTAGTAACAGTGGATCACCGACTTCCCAGATGACAGACTCGGCATGCTTAATGATAAGAGGGAAAACCATTAGTAAATCGTGATGAGATGCTGTCCTTTGTCCTTAAATGTGTTGCTTGGACGAGCTCGACTTGCGGCGAATTCCAGAATTTGACTACTCTTAAGTGTAAAATGGTTCAAATGGTTGTGGACGGAATAGAAGAAGCTTTCGCTTAACAGGCTTCCGTGTCTAGTAGCAGGGGATCACCAAATCCTCCAGGCAGGAACCTAGGTATGTTAACAATAAAAGAGGAAAAGAGATTGGTAAATCATAATGTGATGCTGTTCTTGGTCCTTAAAAATAGGTCAAGTTGCCTCTTGAAGGACTCCTGAGAAGTCGCTTGAACTAGCTCGGTTGGCAGATGTGCCTTCAGCCGATTCTGTAATGCTGGGTCTCCAGATTCTGTGTGTTACTACTAAGGTTTGTATCAGGAAAGAGCTTATGTAGGTACTTAAGGGGATGCCTAGAAGTGTCTAGGATGCTGTTACTCATTAGAGATTCACATAGGAGATGATTGAAGTGATAAATAAATCTACTAAATAGTTTTGTGAGTCTTCGATGTTGATGCTGACCTTATTAGTTTAACTGGACGCATCTTATCTGAATGTGCTTGATCACATACCCTAACCAGATCATGAGTGGTTACTACGTACTAATCATTCCTTATAACTGTCAGCCAGCTTAAACCAACTGCTTCTCAATATATCGACAGTCTTCCAAATATAACATCAAAATCCTTCACTTCTGACCTTTGAATTGACTGGATTAGTATGCTTTGATCATAAAGGTGTCCAGCGTAATGCGTTGTCAAATTCCAACTACTCGTGGCATCTTTAGTAGTGTGACCAACGTGATCTGGTACATCACACGATAAGTTCTGAGTTTGTTCTTTGTGGTTAACACAACACCCAACCAATTAATTATTGTTGTGCCTACATTTCCGGTTATTTTTTCGCCTAGTTGTATATCTTATCTCCCTTATGACGGAACGAGTTCCTAAGCTGCTTGGTTTTAAGACTCTATCGTTTCCACCTCTCGACGCATGCCATTCTGGCTCGATAATCTCGAAGTCTGGTTCTGTGGCACGGAGGATAACTTCCACGTGCGCAACTTCCCGCAGTACTGAAGGCACTGTCGTGCGATTTTAACAAGCACGTCACACCAAGTCTGTCTACTAGTGATGTTTCTTAACCTTACGATAATTCAAGGAAAATTATTCTTAAAAGTGGAACCTTTTTATGTTTCTCAACACAAGATCCTTTTCATGGTTAACCATCTCTCAGTGTCAATTGTTGAATATAAGTGTTTTTGGTAATTAAATGCTCGCTTTCAAAGGTCGTGTAGCTAGTGTCTAATGCCACTACAACCTAAACCACTGACAAAGATTAGACCAGACTTTCCACAACATCGAGTTGCAACAAGACTTAGCATCAATCGACACAAATGTCGTTACAGATCTATATGATCAGTGAAATGTGACTGGACCATGGACAAATCGTTCTCCTGCCGGGTCATTGAACGTCCAACAGTTCACCGATCCCCGTCAAGTTCAAGAACAACCATCGCGCGTCAATTAGATGCACGCCATGTACTGGCCTATGTTGTGGTGACAGCTCTCTTCCTTGTACCTATTCTTACCAATAAATTTCTGTAA